TTTTTTATTTTTTTTTAATTTTTTTTTTTTTTTTTTTTTTTTTTTTTTTATCGAACTCGACCGAATTTTAAAATTATTAATTTTACTTTTATAGGTTGATTTTTTCGTTTGATGTAATTTTTTCACTGAACTTTAGCAGACAATATTATAATAATTGACCGGACCGAATCGTTAAGTTTAAAAATAAACCAATGAAATTATTATTATAATACTTTATGAGCAGTGGGTTGAAATGATGCCAATGGGTTTTATTATTTGTTTTATTGTTTTTTTTTTTTTTTATAAGAGTTCTTCAATTTGTTCACTTGGGAAAAAATTTGTGTGAATGACCGGAAGTGATCCGGTAAACTTTCGTTATTTCATGTAATAATTTTAAAAAAAAACTTTTTTCTAAATTTCGGGGGTGGCAAAAAACCATCCACGTTTTGTTTTTGTCTTTGAATCATTTCGATCGACGAAATCGTTACGTTTTGGTAGTATATATTTATTTATTTAAATATTGACACTAGCTCTTTATGTATTTAAATATTGACACTCGTTCGATTTTTGGAGAAGAGTTTTATTACGATACCTTAATTGTTTAAATTGAACGAAATATTATTTCAAGATCTCGTAAAGAATATTATAGGCAAAAAAGCAAAAAAAAAAAATATTCTTCTATGCGTAGTAAGGTGCCGTGTGTTTTTTATCGTATGTGATCGATATAAATTGTTATGATCGTTTTGGACGGGGCGCGGGATCCATTAGTTTTTATAATAATAGATCCCTCACACAGAAAAAAACTTATTTCTATTATGTACCATAGTAAAAATATGGGAAAAAATATCCTTCATCGTAGCTACAATATTGTCCCGTCTGTTGTGCCGTTTTTAAATTTGTATTTATTTCAGTTTCCACCAATTTTCCGTGAAACCATTTCTCGTATGTACCTAATGAGAACTATATTTTGTTCATATAAAGAACACGTACATTTTTCCATGGTAATCAGTAGCGAATTGGTGAACCAGAAGTTTGCCTAAGGAAAGTGGCGAACTGGTATGTCCTTAACGTAGGAACTAAAATCAATTTCCAGATGTTGGCGGGTAGTCTAAAATATGTTTTATATAATATACTATGCTCATTGCACATGTATATTTTTTTAAGTTCAAACGGACCAGATATACGTGCCTTTGGTACGAAAGGTACCATTTAAAAAAAAAATCAAAGGGCCATCGCCTCGCTATACTCTGCTTCTTAAAATGCATCATTTATTTGAATAGCGATTTTCATATTCAAACTATATCGTCGCTTACGCTCCAACAGTACGTAAAACTACAGTTTTTTTAAAAATAATTCTATAGATCCAGATATTACAATATTCCAATCACAAATAATATGTATGATGATAATCATGCATAATAATCATTATATTATATTGTAATTGTACTGTAAACAATTGTTGCCCTCCTCTAGATTTTTGCTCTGGGTACGTGCCTGGATATACTGCTATAATTACAGTCCAAAAACGTGTATGCAGAATCAATATTTTGTCTGAAATGTAACGTTAAAATACTTGTAGATAGATAGTTAAAAAGTATAATACAGCAAAACTATAATAATATCATAAACAATGTACGTAAATTTAATATCTCCTTCCAGTAAACGACGTTTTATACTACCTGGAGACCATGTTTTGCTCGGGCGGAGCAGTTTTATAAAAATTTAATTGGTGTCACATAATTTTTTACGATTTAATTATACGCTTTTTATTGTACGAGTGTGAGATTGTAGTAGGTATCCAACCAAAATTCACCAACAGAATATAACTTCATCGGCAATAATAGCCAGGGTTTATTATTTACGTATACAAAATAGAAACGTTTGAATATGGTTTGTTTTCACGTTCGCGTTCAAATTGATAACGACTTTTACACGACTGCGTTAAACATATTTTTCATCAGATAATTCGTTTGTTGGTACATTCAAATGTTCGTATTATTAGGAATGTACAAAATTTCTTTTTTTTTCTTTTGTTTTTGATTCATTATATAGAACTGTTTAATGAAAGCCGTTCATTATTAAGATATTTTTCAAAATTTTACTCTTACAGTTCACGTGCACTAAATTAGTTTAATCACAAATCATATCAACTTTTCAAGATTTTCGACTTCAGTTTTTAAACTCAGATTTAAAAAAAAAATGTTTTTTTTCAAAAAGTGTTGGTATGCATCACGCTAAAATTTGTACTAATATTTTCCAATTCTTCCGGAAAAAAAGAGTAATACATTTCGGAACATATTGTACATTTAATATAATCGTTAAACTATACGAATGAAATCCTATTATATTATTATAATAAAAAAAAAAAAAATCGGTTTATCTAAAAATCGGCGTTTACACACGCACAGGTACGCAAGTATAACCTGCTGATAATCCGGTGATAGGTGATTACGAAGATAAAAAAATCATCTGTATTTTATCGTCTCCGGATAATCGTTTCGGTGACGCGAGTTTATGACGCAATGTCTCGCTCGTCTATTGGCTGCACGAAACACAACACAATCGAGTTTACCTATATAACAACTGGTCATGATAAACATTTTGAGTAGTACATAAAATAACGTGTCCTAGACGATTTTCTCGGAAGGACATAATATAATGATTTCTGCTGTGTGGATTATAATGTAATATCTTGCGCCAAAGGTTCCCAAAGTTTTTAGAGCACGGTGCCATTTATCGGATCAACTCCTGTCGGTTAGCTTTGCGATAATGAACATCGCGGACACAACGAATGAAAAGATTGTTTCTGGAGTTCCCATTGAGAAAAACACAAAATATATCATAAAGCAGAAAAACCGCTATAAATGTCAAAAAAAACAATATGAAATGATTCACGAGGAAAATCGAAATTAACAAAAGGAAATTACAATAAATATCATAGACCATTTTTTTCTCAGTGTGAGCCGTTGGGCCCTTGGAGCGGGCTTACAGTGCCCCTAGGGTTCTGCGGTGCACAGTTTGGGAATCGCCGATCGACACGAACACGGTGTTGGAGTAAAAAAGAAATATCTGTAATAAAAATAAATAAATACTATATGCGTATAAAATACGAATTTATTGACACTTGAGAAATTTCCAAGAGACTTATTTTTACCCGTCAAAATATTATATTATACGAGGCGAATTTACATAGGTACCTACGCGATCCGGATGATTTAACCGGCAGCTTTTTTTCTTTCTCGCTTTTTTTTGTTTCCGGCACGGCACATCATCGGAATATTTCCCATTTTCATTTGTCACCGTATGTAACTATCTATATAATATAAAAGTATATACATAGATATACTATTAGAATTCGTTGTTTGTTTTCGTTCAGTTGTCTTATCACGGTACAAATAAACGGTCGCACTGTACAGATACTAACATAATACATTAACCCTCCCCCCATCTAAGAGGGCGTCTGCACTGTGACGTTTGCCGTTTTTGTATTTTTTAACCACCAATATAAAGCAAACATAGCGTAATGTAAAGCAAATAAAAAGGCTTTTAGAATTGATTCTATAAAGCTGATGTAAAATTATTAGATTTTAACATTTTGAACATCTTAACATCATCGGCGGTTTATAATTTTTATTTTATTATATTATATTATATATATTTTATTGTATACAACTCATTATTGAAGGTGATGTAACATACATTATATTATATTAAAAACTATATATTTTTTTTTTTTATTAGCTGTACATTTTTGAATAAAATTAGTGTTTCTACACTAACTTTCAAATTCCGATCGGGTCGACTTCTACAAGTTTTACAATAAAGTATTTTATTATAATCGAAATCGATTTTAACAGCCTTTTCGCTTGTTTTACGTAATTTCAATTTTGATTTATCTTGTCCATTAGAAAGACAGAGTTGGCAAATGCTACAGTGACGGTATTTTTATTAAAATAGAAGTGTAGAATTGATTTAAATGAAAGATCTGAAATGGGCTCATTAAGACTATTTTAGGAAACCATTATAAAAACCTGAGAAAACTCGGGATAGGTTTTACGTGTAGAATTTACTAGCGATTTTTTTATAAATTCGTTTTTCTTATTGCGGGTTTTAAAATTCTGAAATTTCACCTCCAAAGTTTTATACGAGCCTGCGAGTCTATTTCATATTATACTCGTATGCATACATGAGGTTTTAGCTTTATATCTTAAGCATCGTACAAAATGTTAACACTTAGCTAACGAATGATAGCGTCTAAAAAAAACCAATGTGGTTTTTAGAACTACTAGAAATCCTGTTCGGTGTTGGTGACTTGATTTCCGAGACTTACTTTATGTACTAGTTGATTCCCAGATTTCTATTCGGTGTGTACAAGTCGATTCCTCTATTTGTGTATATCAGTTATATGATAAATATATATAATAATAAGGTACATTTCCTTGACATTCCCAAAATTTGAATGGATTTTGAACGGTAGGAACTGCATATGTATATTCTATTTAAACAAGAAAACTATTGATGACGTTGCTGTTCATTCACCTTATCTGGCCACTGACAAATACGATAAATCGGTTAAACGTAAAAAAGGCAATTTAAGGTTTTTTAAACAAATTCAAGAGAAACGAAAATATTTTAATAACTATGTTAGATATCGTCTCTAAGTTTCAAATTCATATTGATATAAAATATTATAAAACACTTAAGAAGTATTTTCGTTTACGAGGAGAAATTCCAAAATATTTGAACAACGTTTACTTTTTGCATTTAGCGAATCATCTAGATTGTAGGTACAATAATATTTTAGAAATATCTATTGCGTATGTAGCTATATGTACCTACCTACCTACCTACCTATACTTACCTGCCTACCAAAAACCACGGCCGCGGTTCAAGCCTCCCCGAGTAAACCCGGCTTAATGTGGTCGCGATAACAACGGCTTGCGTTAAGTCGTTAATTGTGCCAAACGTCACGCTCGCGCGGAGACGATAAGATCCATCACGGAATCCGTTTTTGCGACGCGTTCTCCGGAAACAAATCGTCGTCATGTTGGTTGTACGACCTGAGACAGATGCGAGCATTTTTGCGAATAACAATATTACAACCAATTTTTTTTTTCCCTAAGTGTTCGAGTTTTTACGATTTTTAATTTTGTTTTTCCGTTTGACCATCGGTCATTCTGCACCGGTCGATATATTGGAAAATGTTTTCGTAAATAAATCTCTAAGTATTTTTTTGTATTGTACCAAGTCCGTCACAATCGCAGTGATCACGAGTCGTACAATTCCAAAATGCATTGCATTGCTCTTATTTTGTTTATGTCTATATATTCGACTCTCTCCCCATTACCTGGTATTGCTAATTTTAGCAATTTACGAAAAAGCATTCTTTACTGCGGTGATTTTACTAAAAAATTTAAAAACCTATATCAATCCCATATGAGACATATTTGATTATTTTGAAAATAAAAAACAAACGATTTATTAACAAAGATTTTATCTTTCTCTGATAGGAAGGAATAACAAGTAAATAACAAATTCAAAATAAGAATTAATTGAAAACGTCAGAAGGACTTCTCTTCACCAAGACAAATTTAATTCACTTATCTGCCTGTCTGAGGAAAAGGATTAAATAAACTGGTGATTTTTTAGATTTAATTGGGAAGTTTAGTGATATTATGAAGACCCGGAAGAAAACATTTGTGTAAATTAAAATACCATGTTCATTTATTTACTTGTATTTATATTTATAATTTTTATGATTAATATTTCTTATTTAGAGTTGTAATACGGTCATATACATTTTATTTATACCAACCAACATTAAGTAATTACTTATAATTACGGCGTAATTAATTTATAGTCATTAAAAATAATTGTATTATAAAAAAGCGATATAGCAAAATAAAAATAAAATAAATTTTAATACAAGGGGTCCCATCAAAAAATTTGTCCGGGTCCCGAAATTCCTAATTAGAGCTTTGCCTATAGGTAACCATAAAAGCACAAACTTAAAAGTAGAATATTTCATCAATCCGTTGACGGAAATAATAGATTTAAAACCGAAACTTATTTAAACCAAAACGTTCTATGTATTTGTGTTATTTGTATTATAGTTTAACGTTTAAAAATCAAACCTAGTGTACCTACTGGTTTCTAGTGGTATGCTCTGGAATTCTAGAATTGTAAATGAAAGAGACTGTAGTGAATAACATTCATTGTTCATAAATAAATCTCAAAATCTTCTTTTGTAATATCTAACTCAATGACGATAATTTAAAAGCCGTATCCAAAAAAAAAAAACCAATTTTCATTCGATAAATCGAACTTATTTTCCTAATTTTACTAAATAAATATTTGTAGTGGTTATATTTTAAAACGAAAGGGAAAGGGGGGATATAACTTCTAACGTTTTCCTCTAACTCGCACGCCACTGCAGGACTGGTTTCAACGCCAAACGTATAAGAGCCAAAAAAAAAAAAATTAATAAGGTTGACATAACGTTTTGGAATACGTATACGATTCGGAAAAATGTTTCGTTTTACTGTAAAATCGATTGTAGCACTCGTTTTTATAATATAATATTTTGTCGCGCGGATTTATTCACACGCGACCCAACAGCGGCTGCGATATTTTTTATTTTACGTTTGCTCGGTTTTTACGTATTTTATTTGTTCGCATTTGTAATCCGTTACAGGCCGGGTGTTTCGCACGTTTTGCGAAGTACACCTATACGTATACTAAAACACGGGGGAAATATTATGTTCGTCAAACACCACTCCGCGATTATTTCTATCCACTCCACGCGCACGCGGTGTATATATATATATATAAGTATAGTATTATGACGTGATTTGTCTTTTTATTGCGCACTTCCATCATTCGTATACATTATTATTATTATTATTGTATGTAGTACCTGCGTCGAGATATCACTATAAATTATATTGGTCCGGACGGATAGTGCAAAAAGAGATGTGAGCTCGCTAAATTCACCTGGTAGATGCGAGCCATTTTACCGATATTTTTTTTTCTCACCGTTCTCAAAGCCGTGTTACCTCCCCATTAGATTTCATGAGCCTAATGTCCTATTATTTAAATACTTTTTAGTATTTACTTTGTGTGTTTGGTAAATTTCATGAAAATTGCAGTTGTGCCATGATGATATTATATCGGCTATAGTGGCTACCCGGCGAAAACTCGTCAGTTGATTTTAATAAATTTGACCAAACTGCGTCGAGAAAACCTGTTATTAAAAAAAATCCGTGGAAAATCGAAAAATTACCAACTAGATCGAAAATATTATGTTCTTATAATGTTTTTGATCGCAACATGATTTCTAAAAGAAAAGTTGTTTACAAAAACGGAAAACAGAAAAACTTTTACATCTGCAACAATGACACTGTTGTAGGTTAGGATAGGTTATAGATACATCGGCAGTATCAGCTTTATTTTATTATCATTGTCAATTTTTTCCCCCGTTTACAATGTGCGTGTATAATATCTATATTTGAAAATTGTCAATGGTTGATCGATTTACGTCTGTTCATTTTTTTATGAAAATTGCACTAAATTTACTTACATACCTAACACTTAATTATTACAGTACTAATCGACGCCAAACGAGTTTTCTAGTTCGATTTTCCGAAAACAAAATAATATTTTAACAATAATATCATAATACGTAATCGTATCATGTAATACATAATAACATAATTGTGCGTTGACCTCGTTTAATCGACGGAGATTTATATTTAATCGTGTATGCATAAAAAAAAAAAAAAAGGTTTAGTAAAAAATCAAACCATGTACGATATAATTGGCCCCGTCAACAATAATTATTATTTATAGGTCTGTATACCTATATTGTATAATATATTTTTTTAACATTCGTAGTATACGACCGTATACTCGAACGTTTTAAATTCTGTCCTCCGGTGTGCCTGACTGGTCGAATAAAAATAAAACTTTTGAAATCTCGGTCATTCGAGTAAACCACACGTCGTATGTAACACAGGATTTGTTTTTTACAAAATTGCGGCAGCTACGTGCAAATGAAAAAAAAAAAATGTATACCCATATAATATCGTATGTACTTGTACGCCATACAATAATAATTATTATTATAACGTTTTGTAGGTATACGGAAAATACGCACAATAGTGCGTGGACTGGAATCGAATCCACTCATGTTCCGAAAAATTGGAAAGTTTTGAAGTTTTCATACTTACCGAACACTATATTAACCCGGGTTAAAAATAGCACGATCCATTCGAATTATTTTATCAAAACTCGGACGTAATTTATAATATAATGTAATATTGTAATTCTTATAATATCAAATGCATCGTTCTGAATTGATATAGACGTGTTAAAGTTAAACAAATATTTACGTTTATATTCGAATAAAGTGTGTCCATTTTTATGTCATCATAATATTATATAGGCCCACCCTCACCGAACATACGCATTCCGGAATCATGTCCGCAGCTAGTGATGATGATAACAATAATATTATAAAACCAATGGCCAGTTTAACGAAAGAGATTCATTAATAATAACGTTTGAAAAAAAAATAACCCTTTATTTTTCGGCCCCTTTGTCACCGACGCACGTCCCGTGACGCGTGTATCAACGGATAAGAATGAAAACGAAAAATTAAAAACCAGTAATATATAGGTAACAATAAAATGCAAAAATTTCGCCATAAGTAATGGTTTTGCTGGGTTTTTGTCATTATTTATTGTTTTATGTAAAGTAAAAGTACGAATGTCGTATTGTTCTAAAAAAAAAAAAAAAAGGCGGAGCAAATCGAAACAAACATTATTATTATTTTTTTCAATGACCAAAAATGATTGTGCTTTTTGAGGTGCCATAAAAAAAAAAAATCCGATGATTAAAGTATATTCGGACGGTTCGAATACGTCAATGTCCTAAATTTAATATGGGGTTTTTTTTCGGAAACATTATTTTGTCACACGTTGGTTGAGCTTGTCCGGTAACCCTCCTCGAGAATGAATTTTTTTTTGGATGCAAAAGCTAAGAGGCTCAGAGGCGTTTGGCTGTCGTTTTGATGCTATTTCGTTTCGTGTATTCATCGCAAGGTTCGCAAAACTGTGACTTTAAAAGATACTCTAGAAGCACACTACTCAAAGGGGAGATTTCGATAAGGTATAACATCACATCTCCCAATATTGTTTTCATATTGATTAACGCTGAAATTATATACCATATGTAATAATAATAATAATAATAATAATATAGGTGTATGATCATTATCATTTATCAAAGGAGAAAATTGTGTGTAAAAACATTTTTGAAAGTTGGAAAATTTAATAGGTATACCTACGTTTTTAAATGTACCTACCCTTCCGACGATTTTCTGTTAGCGTCGCCGACTACGATGAATTACGAAGAGGGCAGCAATAAGAGACGCCACTTTACGCGACTTAAATTTCAAAATCTCTCGAAGACCAACGATGTTTCTACACAAGATAACGTTAATAACATCCGCCACTTATCAGTTTCACGATGATATTCGATAACGACATTGCAGTTTTCCAAAGATAATAACAGTATGTCATATCTATATTCTGTTACACGTGAAATCATGCGGTACCTATACGGGACGTGTAACATATTTAAATTTGAAAACAAAACTAATCGATTATACAGGCCGAATTGGCAAATGTTTAGTAAAATGTGTCACACCGTTTAATTACGTTAATCCCCGCGTATCGTGTGTTTTAACTGTGACGTGTTGTGACTGCAGAAACGGTGTCTACTAACCAACATTTTACATTTATTTATAGAAGGATTTTATTCGCCTGTGCGTGACTGTACGATGCGATACAGGGTGATTATTTTACACAATAATATATAATAGAATTTTTCATTATCAAAAGTCTGTCATAAATATAATTTCATACTGATATGTTAGACAGTTACGAGCAAATCAGTTAAGGTCAGTAAAAAAGGTTTTTTTTACATAAAATCCGCCCCCTCCCTCGAACAACCTTTGGATCCGCCACTGATCAGACATATCACAAAGCGTTATCGTTAATCGCCATATAAAAATATCGATAGTAAAAGTTCAATCTGTTTAGCGGTATAAACAGGCATTTTCGTTAGTGTTTTGTTTTTAAATAGATTTCATTTATTTCATGGATTGATCAATAGAATTTACTCTTTTGGTGCCTATGTGACCGCCAAATTTCACATAATATTATAATACAGTTGCGTTTAACAATTTGTTTTCTTATACCCATAATAACGAGATGTAAACAAATAATCGCTCGTGTCTTATTCGTTTTCGTTAATCGTTCAATAATTCCCCGAGGGATCGCCGAAACGATGTAGCCTTTGAGTATATTATTAGGTTAAATCAAAACGCATAGAAATTTAACCACGCCGAATATACATCTTTACGATCACGATAGACTGCGTACAAATATTATGTGCGCGTTTTCACGTTCTCGTGTAGATTGGTGCCGAACACCGGTGTGTACGTTTTAATAACGCGCGCTCGTCTCCTCGATAAATTCGTCTCTCGTTTCCGGTCGAACGCGCATTCCTTTCGGAACCCCGCCGGATTTTTCGCATCATAAATCACGTCCTCCGAGCGCACTTATGGGATTCACCGCCGCCGCCGCAGCCGTCACCTTCGACGAAGGTTTCGTCAAAATAAATAGACGGCACACTACTTCGCGGTGTGGTGTCGACATAACGACACCGCCGCCGTCGCGCCGGGGTTCGTCTGTTCGCGAAATGACATTGAAATACGATATAATATACGATATTATGGCAATTATATATGTATATGTGTGCATACAGGGTGATTTTTTAAGCGTGTTCATTCCATTTTTATGGTTAAATTATGCGTAAATTCAAATTGGTCATACACGGCTCCTATGAAAAGATCGATATCTAATGCCCGTATAGATAAGACTATTATCCTTAGTATTTCAAGCAGTATAAACTTTCGGTTCGAATTTCATTACACTCAAAATTCCAAAAATCAGAATTAGAATTTATGCATAATGTAACCATAAAAATGGGGTGAACGCGATTAAATAATAACCCTGTGGTACCACGGTCCTATAGTGATAAACCGCAATCGATTATCGCGATTTATCATATGTATAACTCGTTTTACTCGAAAACGATAATAATATACTAACGGTAAAGGAAATCCGGATTTGCCGGATCTGAAATACGATATGTTATTTAAAATCGGATTTTGGGTTGTTTTATAGATATTTTTCATACAATTAATTATATAATTGATTAATTATAAATTATGAAATTCAAAATTGGAATTTTATTATTTTCGAAGTCCGAAATCCGGATTCATATCGTATAATTTACACGATTGAAATAAAAACAAAAACAAGATAGCAGAATTCCGTCACCAGAGACAAAAATTTCTCCTCCCCCCCTCCCTATCAAAATTTCGGTATTCCTAAAATTAGCATTTGGAACTGTTCTGTACGGTTCCGATCACGCGTGATGAATATTACACTGCGTTGAAATGCGATCAATTTCCTCTGCGTCACATCGAAAATCGGTCGGTTTTTTTCTTAATATATCATCCGGATACTGGGGCGGAGAAGGTGATAAAAATCATTGGATATTTAAAATATTATATTCGTCAAAACGACACTTTTGCAATGATACGCCGATTTCATTAGAATATACCAATCAAAACCGTTATTTTTCGGACTGTCCCTTAGACCGCGCGGTAACTGTTGTTTGCAGTAGATCCATCATAGTATACAGGCGCCAGAGTGTTCGGCCGAAAACCAACGAAAAACCTTAACCGACCATGTACAGACGGTGCTCGGACAACGGCACGTGAACGTCAGTAGGAGGAAACTAGTGTATTAGGTATACGCCCTATCTATCGGACCGTTTTTCGTTTTTCTACGCGCTGTAGCCGCGCGTCCGGACACACACCCGTGGAAAACGCGACGAAATGCGATCGTGCGACCGTAGCGACCTCTGAAACGCGACCGACGCGAGTTCGCGACGCAGCAGTGTTGACAACCGTGTGACGTCACCATGGCCATCGTTTTGTCGGCCAGATCCAAGGTGTTAACGGGCGGCGCGGTGGGCGTGGCCTGTCTGCTATCCGGCCTAATGTTCTGCAACCTGTTCGGGTGGAACAACGACGACGGAGGCGGTGGCGATCTCTCGTCGGCCGGCGGGGTAGCCAACAGGGCCTCCGCAGACGACGCGTACAAGAAAAACAACTGGTACCCGACGTCGTTGTACCTCTACCAAAAGGTTAAGTTCATATTATCATCACTTAATATTTTATTATTAGTTTATATTACGATATAATTTATTACTATTTTTTTTTATAATTAAATCATAATAATAAGAGTGTGGGTCGTAATGCGATCGATCAATAAAAAAGTGAAATTTCACGTGATCGAACGTATATAGCCTAATAGTATAACTAATATACCCGCAACATAACGACAACATAACATCAACTCAGTTGAGACAAGTCGATTGGATAGTAGATTAAGTTAAAAGTTAATACGAAAAGAGTATTGGGCCATTTTTATATTTTGTAATTTTTTTTAACTGATTGGTTCTAATTTAATTAATATTTAATTAAATCTTAATTATTGCACGAATCGGTGAAAATTGATTTACATTAGCGTTAAAACAATTCCTAAACATGTAGACTACAATAATTGAGCAAAATTAGTTAGAATTTGAATAAGACATTTTTTAAAAGTTTATAAAGCTGCCTGGCATTATAACTAATAACTTTAAAAAACATTATTACTTGGTACAATAGCTTAATTTTGGACCAAGTGAATTTTTAATTTGACCCCTGTATTAAATTCTTATAAATGTCCAGTCCAACGCTGGCGAATCTCCTCTATATTATTATTCAGTGGAGACTTTGACGGAGAATATTCTTGAAACAGTAGCGTTAATGACAGAACCCTTTAATATAATATTACGTCGAAATCGATGAAGTTATCAAGCGATTGTAGATGAGTGAATAAGCCGTGCTTATTTTTTGATCTATCATATTATGATTGTCAACAGTTTTATTTTCGAAAAAAAAATAATTTAGAATTAAATTATTTTATTTAAATTATTTAAAAGTTATTTTTTATTTTTTAGTGTGATTTCGTTTTAAGAAACGCATGTTTTAAAACATTTTTATTTTCCATTTTTGTTTATAACTTTTTAGTCACAATCCAAGTAAATTGTTACCAAATATTTCTTGTACGTGTACATGTCGCTGATACGTATGACCCACCCCCCTTGTTGAAACCCCCATATGGCCTTTTTCACAATCAAGGTGAACCAGGAAAAATCTAATAGTTATTGATTATTGTATCGTCGTCGCAAATGCGAGAACATGCAAATTCGCGAATCGTTCGGACCACCGTGGAAAGGTGGATCGAAAGTGGATTGCAAGATTCCACGACGCGACTCGGGGTGAGTTTAAGAAAAACGTGGAAAAATACATTACATACACGCAATATAATACTGTAATGTACTGCGGTTTCTTTTGAACTAGGGATGCATTATATTATATACACTTGTATAATTTAAACTTTATTCGAGAAACCGCGCTGCGGCGTAGTTATTAGTCACTACGGGCTTAATTTCGGTACGCGCGTGATTCACGACTTCTCGTCGTCGCCGCCTCCTCGCACTGGAAGTGTTTGAAACTCGTTTAAAGTTATTGCCGGTGGGTATGCGTAAGTAGGTATATTGTTACGTATAGGTGTACGGCGCGATTAGATCGAAATAATATTATACTAAACGGGGAATCGATTCGAATATTATTCGCGTATAATGCCCTAAAACAATATCAGATGTGCACCGTACGTTTGTTTAGCGCGCTCGGCATACTGTGCAACGCCGCACTGCGATTCGTCCTGCACGCGTACACATTTAATCATTTGTTCAACGCACGCGAGAACTCGTTGTCATAAGATAACACCGCATATCATCTCCGTATCGCACAGTTGTCGTTATAATACACCTGCTGTACGCAGTGGTCAAAGTGGGGAGAGAACGGAGCCGTTTCGGAAATCCAGTCTCCGAGACGAGTTTAATAAAAGTTCGGTTTGGTCGAGTTGGTTATCCAGAACGCCCTTTAATTTTCGGTAAACATAAACCCACTTCGAAATATGTCCTACTTTAACCGGGACCTAAATGTAATATTTTCAGAACGTTTTCGTCCACAGCGATTTATAAACGAAAAACAAATGGGTGGTACAAGTACCAGAAATTAAACACACGACGACGAAGCGAATTATTTTGTTCACGTCATGTTTTAATTATCAAACAAAACATTATTATTTGTACTGTTTTCGGATCTACTAAAATAAACTCGCGTGTAGTCGTGTGCAGTAAATCGTTGTAAAAATATTGACTTAAAATATTATTATAATTTATAGGTAAGGTGTACACTATACACTTACGCTCAACACGAAATCATGTGCGATGTTACTATCAAACATAATAACCCGCTTGCAGTGAACGTCGAATAATGAAACATCGAAAAGCTCACGTGTATCGTGAAATAGACAAATAAACACTACTCTATTATCACAATGCATGTATACCTGATTCACATGGTATATTCGAAAACAATTTCCCTCCAAAATCGTAATTCTGTGATTAAAATAAGATAAACATAAAACAATATTGCAGCGCTTGAAACATAGACTTATAATAACAATTATTGGACAGCGCCTCGAGTGAATATTACTCAGACTGGACCTGATAAGCAAAAATGAGAATCCTGGAAAAATAAAAAAAAAAACAATCTTTATGGTATTTTTTTTTTACCATGAAAATCATTGATTTATATCACCTCGGAAAAACGTGAACATTTTATTTTTTTTTCCCTGATACGCCTTTTTGCATATCGGATTCGTTCTGATTATTTAATCACTTGAGACGTGATCTATTAGTTAATATTATGTTTGAAACACGCCGAATACGTACCTGTAGTGTACACTTTATCCGTGTAGTGCAGGGTTTTTTTTTCAAATGTATTGTATTGTTTTTACTAGGTACTCGTTTATATATAAAAAAAAAAAATCATAAACAACAATATGAAATTAAAAATGCAATAAAGTATTATTACTCGGCGGTAGGTACATAATATAGGTACTTACTAATTCACCATTGTACCCTTGCCTATTATTAAAACAAATGGTAACAATAATACTTAAACACCAAAAATTAAAAACGAATTATTAATTTCAAAAATGCTGCGCAACGGTTAAAATGAAAAATGATTTTAATAATGTTGCAGTGCTGGGATTTTTTTCTCCGTAAAATAATATATACGGTTTGATTGAAAAAAAATAACCACAATTCCATTTCGACTTCACGAAAAAAAAAAAAAAAAACTAAATACAATTTTATTTCTACGACAATGACTTTAGTGGGTTTCTCTTCTATACATCGGTTTTTTGTGTGTGTGTGTTAAAAATATGTAGGTATACAATATAATGAGCATTGTCCTTTGAAAAACTCATTTTTACGGGTTTTTTCTCTTTCTAAACGTTTAGAAATATATACTACGATACTTATAATAACTTATTGTAGTGAAAATATATGATATATATTTACTCGCGTAGTTTTTTACAATTATCGGCCTTGGACCTCTTCTCCTACCCGTCGTGTTATGGGTACGACTAATCATACAATTATTTTACATAAAAGAGTTGTTTGCTTTAAAAATTTTGAAACATACGAATAATTGTTTGGTTTAAAAATATCACTCTTATTATATTATAGCTTGTATACTGCACAACGCAATAAAAATGTATACGGCGTGATACTGAAATGAACGAGATTATGATAAAATAATCACGAATTCAGGCCTATGCGGGGTGGATGATATTTTCTTAATAATATTTGGAATTGTGCGTTAATTACATTAACATGAATAATAATAATTAATAAAATACGCCAATATAAGAAATAATTTTGGGGACATGAATTTGAAAAAAGACGTAAAAACTGTGTACTGTACATTTTTAAGGTCATTTCTACAGTTGGTATTTTTATTTGCGACTCATGCATAGATAAAAATGGAAACCAGCTGATCGAAAGGGATTAGCGTACATTTTGGAGCTTTGCAATTTATTTGCTGAAAACTGACACTGGCCACGTGAGTATGATTAGATATTAAATACTCGAAGTCTACAATCCATGGCAGATAGGCGAAGAATTGCTAACCAACTGTTCTTATCTGAGTTTATCGACGAAGTCAAAAACTGTCCCACGTTATGTAGCCAAGTTTGTTTTTGAACGCTTTACTTCTGGTCCTGATCACCTTATCATCCTTTCACCATCAAACACTGCAATATATTTATTATATGGTTAGTTTAATCAAGTTCTTTACTCCGAGTGGGTTAAAAGTTGAAGCTACTTAAATCAAATAATTATTTGAACTTGCACCAAAAATGTCATCATTCTTCATTTAGGAGTTTGTAGGAGTGTACAAAGTAAAAAAAAATAACTTCTTCCCACAGCAACACGGTGATGTTCATACAGAATTTCAACCAACATTTTATCACTTTAGTACATTTACAAAAAAAATCCCCAAATTTGAGCTTTTTTAGACTAGAAGGAGCCGCTAACCGAGAGTATTAATATATCCGGAAAAAGATAATAAAAAATACAAATAAAATACTACGGTTTAATCATATATTTCGTATTTACAAACCGTGCGTTAATTTCACGTTTGAAAAACTTTATGTCACAGAAAATCAATCTGTATTATGTACAGTCGTCGCGGTGACTTTTTTTACCGATATACTTGCGGTTTAAACGTTTCGGTAAAAATGTTTCGAATAGATCGGAATCGAGAAATAAAACATGCCGATTGAACAAATTCGTCTGACGCGATTACTTTAATTTAAATATTGACAATATTAGATATAGGTATATGGATTGGTATAATATAATATTACAGCAGTTGTCCAATGATAATTACAAGTTTATCGTTTTACCGCGCTGCGTAAGAACGTTTTTGTTTGACTTCTAAAATAATCCGCAATATTTCGGATTCGGCTTGAAAACTTCCGTGTAGACCGAATACACGAAACGGCATCGCTCAAATCGCGTTACCGTTGAAACGGATTTCTCGTCGACAACATACACAAAGATCAAAATCAAGTAAAACGTCATTATGCGTACTTACTATATTACAATAATTACAATTTAATGTGTTTTTGTCATAATATATTATACCCACATACCTACGTCGCACGACAACGACGTAGACTAATCCGATATTGTCTTTACCGAGTGCATGTTTAAACGTGAATTTCACTCTACAAGCATTTGAATACACACGTAATATAGTAATAATAATAATAAAAATAATTAAAACAGTTTCAAACGTTTAAATAATTTTTTGTTTTATTGTTCAAAACATTTTTCTTTAAAACGCAATCTGTTAACAGTTTTACGTGGTTTTGATATTTGTTTAGATTCTGAGCACAGCGAAGAATATATTGGTTTAGTTACGAAGTGTGCTTTTTTTTGTTTTCCATCTGTAAACAACTTTTCTAATAAAAATCTTGCTCTAGGAATGACAAGAGACCTATTTTGTTTCGTTTTGGATCTATAATGCGGCCCACGGGAGAACTAATTCGTTTTGCGCGTCTAGACTGACGGCAGTGACTGTTCAAAAACACAGTTTCCTCCGCTTTGTTCAGTTACGTATTGCAATGTATATATATGCATGCAGACGCAGTCAGAACACGGTTTACTTATCTCGTGGGCCAGAGTATAGTTGGTGCATTGGAATGGTCAATTTTTAGTTTCCCTAGCGGTTTTTATAATAAATGGAGAAAAACTGGTAAAAATCAGCATAGGTAAAATCGGAAATGAACACGCAACTATAGAGAAGTTTTGTTCTACTAAACAATTTTCAAAACAAAAATACGTACTTCTTCCGTCTTCTTTCTTTTGCCATTCATATTTGTATTTTTTAGATATCGCGTCGTTATTGTACCTAAGGCACACATAAATATATGTACTAATTTCGATAAGAAGTTATTTAATTTGAATTTTTCACTATAACGCGTTAAAAGTGATTGGCTATTTTTATTTATAAAAAATCGTGTTCGTAAAATTTAACACAAATAATTTATAATTTGTTTGGCTCAATAATAATTGTTCTACCTATACGTTTTGTTTGAATCACAGTTTTGCCAGTTTAGTTTTATCCTTTAAGTACACGTTTCAAATACAATATAATATCAACTCTGTGTAAAAATAATAATTAAACTATATAATGCGTAAGTACGAAACAAGTATTTCGAATATAATCCGGGGTATCCTGCGATAATTCATCCGCGCATAAAGTAGGTTATCGTGTGATCGAATGTTGTTAACGTTTTGTATGCCTATATATGTAGTTTTAGAACGGAACAAGACATTTCAATTAGTTACTCAGCGAACATTTCGTTTTATTGACACGTTTTTGTTTTCTCTTAGAAACTTTTTCATTTGACGTATAATATAATATATTAGGAGAGCTATACAGGAGAGGAATGTATCGCGGTGAGTAATTATTATAAGCTATATTATTATTATAGCTATACATACATTATACGTAAATAGAATTAAAAAAATATGGCGTAGTTTACTCGTATTATATTACTATCTAAAATTGATAAAATCGGCCTGTAATAAAATTTCGAAAAATAATGTTATTATAGGCATAATGCGTAATTATTGCAATGTCACCGACTTACACATTTACACTATATTACGCAATTCAAAGGTTCCCGTGAAATAAACTATGTTTTAAGTGAGATGGCGCGTGTTAAACGAAACGATTTTAGACGGAATTTATAAGACAATAACCGACTGCATGTTGGTTATCATCCCTAAACTTAGTTCAAAATTCAGATGACCAAAAACGTTTATGTTGTTGAGTACGGACCTGTGTATACGATGTAGATAGTCATAATTTTTCTTATCAGCGTTGATCTCGGACGATTTTGAATAAAATTTATTTTTTCTAGTCGTTAGATAGTATTTTCTAGAATCGTTATTAATGATCATATTTACAAATTGTTATCATTATTTCATCTATCAGCATAAACGCATTACACATTTTGTTTATCAAATAAAAACCCCCCCATAAAATTAGTTTCGAAAATCGAATATTGTTCCTCAAATTACTGATATTATGCTTAACATATATTTTGAGTGTTGAGTGGTTTTGTTTGAAAATCAGAAATCAATAATATGTGTTTATAGTGTATTGGAAATAAGAAAAAAACGTTTAAAATAACGTAATGTTGATCGTTAAATGATTTTCCATAGTGACTGAATAAACAACAATGTTAATCGAGTGTTAAGAGATAATTTATTCCGATCATGTGTTCGCGTTATTATGAGTGTAATCTATTTAATGTATATCTGTTAAAATAATTGTTTCCCACCTTTAACAGTAATGAAAATATGTCACCATTTTAAAAAAAAACTTGCGTTTTAAATTTGTTGAAAAATCATATTTTTAACAAACTTTAAAGATTGTAAGATATTGGATAATTTTCGTCTCAATAATCGCCTAACTTTTTCACATTCAGCGTGTGTACAAAATGTAATTTATATTTTAATTTCAATGTATCTAGTATTTAGTGTCTAGTGTTTATGTACATAAAATGAAACTATTGAGTGTTTATTTTATTGCAATACTTGTATCTCGACACTGTAATATCCAATGTATCTAGATACTCATTTTAATGGATATATATATATATGTATGTACCTTGCCCATCCCCGAATGAAGGTAATAAATATGCAATTTTTTACTGATGGAATCGATTATTTGATTAATTAGATTTCTCTGATTAATCGTATACGAGGTCTCTCATTTAACTAATATTTATTTGTGAATAGTCTTGAAAAAAGTTGAACGTTTATATTACCAAGGGAGAGTTATAAAATTTAAACACAATAAATTTATTGGCAGAAAAAAAAAATAAAAATCGATTCTAACAATTTTAAAATAGGTATACGTACTATTTATAGTGCAATTTTTATCTGACTACCGAAAGTAAAATATACGATTATATTAATGTCGTTATATTGCACACTTTTCGGAGATATTATCCATACATAAATATTTTCCAATCGTTTTATTTGTGTGGCATTATATGCATAGGGGTAAGGATTCATAAATCAAAATGTTTATATTATTCTTTTTTAAATAAGCGGGTCTACGTAAAAAAATAAAATCAAATCGTGTTTAAAGATCACAATACTAAAGTCGTTGTACATAAATAATACACGCGTCGGATATAAAAAAAATATTATAGTAATATATTATTTTAGTGCATAATAATATTATGTTGTTACAGATATAGAATTGCAGCGGATATACTTGTACGTAATATTTGCATATGTATGGTAATAGTATTTCGATTTTTTAATATTTGACAATAATGGAAAATTCATTTGATTTTATTAACACTTGTTATGGTAATAATAATATTTGAAACTGAGAGCTGCAGTTAATTGTTATCAACGAGCGCTCAAAACAAATAATTCTGTTTTAGGATAATCTCGTTCGTAACGAAAACTTGTTTGATACAACACATTTTTTTTTAAATATCGATATTATATAGTTGGCCGATTTGTGGATTAATACACAAAAACATATCATATTAAAAAAAAAAAAAAATTCTCTATCAATGAACAATTTTGATAATCATAATTGTTTAAAGCATACGTTTTATGTTTTATTTATTTTATTTTTTTTTTTTTTTTTTTTTGTTTAATCGAGTTACAAATTTAAAAATCAGGACGCCCCGCCGATCTCTTATTAAACCATTGCAAGTAGTTCCTACGAAATATGTTCTGTTTGTGTATTACATCGAGTAATCCAATTGCATTTACATTTTCACAGAAAATTAGTAAACGTTTCAGGAAGTCGTTAGTTCCAAAACCATCATAGTGTGGGCTAGAATAATGGCATGCATGCAGCTAAATTGTTCAATTAGTAATCACCGCTCCGATTTGTTTACGAAGAAATCCTCGGTCAAACGATGCCTCTTATAAAATTATATATACCTTATAACATTGCATTATAGACGAGCAATACTCACATATTAGTACTGAGGTCAAAACATGAAGTGCTCTATTCAATGATTCTATGCAAGATAATTAAACCATCATGTTTTTAATGTGTTATTATTTTTTCAAATATGTAATTATTGACAACATTGCCTAAAATCTAGTCGATGTAAAACCGTGATGCGCGTGTTTAAATAATTCGGGGAGAAAAATTCCAGAAGCTGAGTGAACGGAATATTTGCGAAATGATTAGGTTAAAAATCTAGTGATAAACAAAAAAAAAAACAAACTCTATTTATATTTTTGGTATCAAACGTATTACACAAAAGAGCCCAAACGTACTATGGTTAGAAGAGTTATTATTGTCTAATCGTCCCGTGTTCGGTTAAATTAGGTCCTAATCTTTCTTTATTATCTATATGGTGCTCATGGAATATTCCGCTCTTTTGAGCGTAAATACATTTTTAAAGAGTGCTGCTGGTTAGTGGTTTTTTGGGTTAGAAATTATTATAATATTTTAAGCGCAATGCGTTTTAATGCATGCCCCACTGTCACCACTACTCCCGTCAGTGGCACCAAAGTCATGAAAATGTAATCGGCCGAAACACAATTCAATAGACCCCAATAATTAAACACAGCCCATTGTATGTCCAAAATTATTACGGATTGTGTAGGTTTTTAATTTTTTAATGAATTATTCATTCGGTTTGGAAACCAAAATTTTGGCCCGAAATTAAGCGGCACCATAATTAATTTTTAAAAGAAGTCGGGACAAAGATGGACCTTAACATAATATATAATTCAGTGCCACTGATTCCCGTGATCCGCGGATCATCACTGTAAAATATTACTGCAACGTAACCTAAAAAACGTATAGTTGAGCGTCGTTCAATTTTACAGTTCAATTTGTTAAAATGGGCGAATCAGTGGTAAGTGAAAGAGTTGCAAGACATTATATATTCTATGACCGCGCTTAAGATAATTTAATAAAAAAAAAAAATGTCGATAAAAGAGACATAATAACAATAGACGATTATAGGCAATAGATAAAATTCACGGAAACAGATCGTATTATTATATTTTAGAATTTTAACCGACAATAATATTTAATTACGAGTATTTAAAACGCTTACGGTTTAATTAATCGGTCGGTAATTATAAACTGTATCCGATCCCATTATATCGATGGTGTATTATGTACCGTCGTCGTTTTTTATTGATAATAAAAAAACTAATAAATAATTAATGAATTAATAAATAAAATGAATTGTGTACGCTTCGGCTGCCAAAATCTATACAGTTTATAAGACAGTTGTATTTATAGTCGTCGAACGATTTTCAATTATAACTTTATAAAGATTCTTTTTGAAACTTATATTCTTTGGAACATTGTTTACGCTGCGGCAGCGGTGCGCGGACAATAATTTTATTCGACGTCGTTTATCATTGTTATTATCAAACGAAATTTGTAAGTATTTATATTATCCTATACGCGTGCACTGCGCACAAACGCAGGAAACTACAGAAAGACAGATGTGTGCAGTAAAAGTTTTAATTATTATCTCCATAAGACTATGGTATACGTACCAATATTTAATATTAACGCCCGTCGGGTGTTCGCCAAACAATATATCGAACGATTTGTTTTCGTAGTGTTTTTCAATGGCGCTGCTGCATGTCAGTGGAGAATCAACGGGATTAAGACGCTCCCGATACATAGGGTAACGCGGTATTAACGAGTTTTTTGATAGGTAAAAACCGAGAATTTGTCAACTGGAAAATGTCCACTTTCGAATAACTATACATTTTAGTAGTAAGTCTCCGCGAGCCTGCGTTTTGGCGGTAGTTTATTGTACCACAACGAGGGAGCAGCCCTGTGACATCCGGACCGTACATAATTGTATGGTGGCGTACCGTGCATGCACAAAAACGCACTCTTTCCGACAACAACACACGAATGGACATTTTAAACGATAACGCACTTGGCACAATACGATATACACAAGTATAAGGGTGCCCCCTTACGATAAACGAAATCAGCGTTACATACAGTTGAATTCAGATTTATCGGGGAAATCGTGAAATTTGTTCACTGACTAGTTTGCACATAACAAAAAAAAAAAATGCCTATCAAAGTGATTTCAATGTTTTTACTCATTTCACGGAAATTAAAAAGGCAACAAAACGTTGTCTAGAGTTTGACGAATAATTTTAATTTTCAATTCAATTGAACAAGGCAATAATATTATAACACCAAATATGATATAAATCCTTTCTTTTTTCACAATAATTAAAAAAAAATAAAACCGTGACTTTTTTTTAAACATTCAACAGAACAGATAAGTCGGAATTTGGATAAAATTGCGTTCTTTAATATTTTCATCATAAATACTGTACATAGATTGCTTTACGCTAAATCACACTATGATAAAATGATTTTTCGATACGGTGTGTTCTTTATATAATTTAAAAAAAACGTTTTTGCGTACTCTTAATCAGATAAAAATAACAATAATAACCGACATTGAATGAAAAAGAATTATTAACCGTTCTCCGTAAAAGAATCGGACAAATCGAAAATTTACTTCTTTACCGCATCCGCTATCTGAGTTGCGTGCATTATATTTTATCGCCAGGCACCGAACGAAATTATCCTAAGCGTTTTTTGTTGTACCGAAAGTGTTTTCGAGAAAAAAAAATGATTATCACACGCCTTAATATTATATAAAATTATTTTTGTGAAAAATCGATAAAATATAATACGTCAACTGGACGACGAGCCGGATCGGACGTGTTTCGTCGATACATTTTCCGGTCGGATATGCTTATTAATTTCCGATTTCCAAACAATCGATGCCACGTTTGTCCCACCTCCTTCCCTATGTGATGGTACTGGACATTGGAATCGGAAGAGTTTTAATTAAAACACTCCCCAGAGATACGCCACCGGTGGCAAAATGATTCCGGTGGACGTTTTATCGCGTGCACGTGAAACACGACTACCGGTGAGTAAACGGGAATGCAGGAGAAGGGAGGTAAAGGGGCTTTATCCTGAAAATAGATTTCGTGTATATCAATATACTCATCGTATTTGTATATCCGATTACGTGTGTATTAAAAAGAGAAAAACAAAGAGAAACACACAAATATCGTCGTCGCTTGACGTTTAAACGGAAAATATTTTTTTTTTCCCCCGGAAACTCTGCATTTCGTAAAAATATACAGGGTGATTATTTTTTAATCAAAGTAATAAACTAGTGTTTATTTGCAAATATTTGTTTTATTCCATTTCTTGTAGAACCGCTTGAATAAAAATCCGGTCTCGTGTAATATTTTTCAAATTGTGTACCATTGTTTTGTATAGTACAGTATTAAAACTTTAGCCAAACAAAAAATGCATTAAAATGACTTAAGATATTATAATTTTTAGTATAAAACGTGTTATAATATGCATACACTAATGCAATTTAGACAAAAAATTAAGGGAAAAAATATATATACTGCACAATTTATTATAAAAAAATTCCAAAAATTGACTATAGCCCTTTTTCCTTAAGATCAATCAAAATAAATAAATATTTCTAACATGTCCCTATGGTGAATTTCGTTTTTAATCGTATTGATAACGTATATTCGTATATTAATAACAAAAAAAAAAAAAGGGACGTCCTTGGATAATGGAGACGAGTGCAGCCACTGTTATAGGTGATTAATGTATATCTGTAAGCAACGATAAACCATTTCTAACGAAAAAACGATTCTGAGCGTAATTCAGTTGATAATGATGCTTTGTCAACACTATATAAATATATCATATTATGGTAAAATAATTGTATAGGCATTAAATATTTGTTTGATATTTTACCTATTTTCCCTTGTTTTTTTTCCGATTTTCCCATTTATTGGAAAAACTCCTGGAAAAGTACCTCCTTACAGTACCTTTCCAGTCAAATTATCTTTCAGAAAAAATGCTATCGTTTTAAATCGGAGGAAAATTGCTAGTAGAAACAAAGAAACAAAATATAATATTTTCTTACTAATACCTATATTTTGTACATTTTCCGTTTTTCCGACATTTTATCCATATTTTTTTCAGTTTTTATGGAAACTTCTTGAAAAACCGATAAATGAAATCTTTAATTTATCATGGAGATGAAATTTCCTTTTAAAAAAATAAGCTACACTTGATACATCGAAGCAAGATTTCTGGTAAAAAAGTTTGCACAACAAATCGAGGGGTATTTTACAAATGAATTATTCCGAGGAAACGATGGCTTGGGTCTCTAGGTACATCCGAAATTCTTTTTTTTCACCTTGTTTAGGTAAAAGGGAAACCTTTTTGGGCACACTGGTTTTAATTCGGAAGATTTGGAACCATAATAAGCATAAATAACTATTAGATCACGATACATATACTTTCAGAAGGACAATACAGAATTATTTAACATATATAATATCAGTATAATATCAGAACTTCGAAAATCTATAATTTCAAAATTTAGTCAGTCCGAGTAATTTAGACTTCACCATCATTCTTAAATAGGCAATATAAATATGTTCAAAAAAAAAAAAAAATTAAAAAATTAAATTTTTTCTACATAATTTTTTCGTAAAATTTTATATTAAAATTCCTTTATAAAAAAAAAATACTACATTACACTGATTTTTTTTTATTTACCACAAAGTAAAATTTAATGAACCTTCCGTTAAATTGTCAAGCATTTTTTTTAAGTCTAATAATTTTACCACAGAGTACCTAACGAATAAAAATTACGTACAAAACTCTCAAAATTGCAATGTCTATAAATACTTTAAAATGGCTTACATTTTTTGGAAATTTTACCACGTCATAACAAAATTGAAAAATAATAAAAGCATTATTTTTGTAATTTTCCCGTTTTTCTTTCGTTTTATCTTGGTTTTTCCCAAATATTATGAAAACCGCTTGGAAAATTAAAAAATGACCTCCTAAAAGTACCATCTGGACAACATTCCGTTTCAGAAATAGCGTCGCTCGTATATATCTTAGCAAGATTTATAGTCGAATTTTCGTATACAATAAAAAAATAAACATCTTAGTAAAACCAACACATTCTTCGCTATACTCAGTATCTAAAATTATCACAAAAACGTAGACTTTTTTTTAAGGAATAGGTACTTTTCGAATGTATTATTCAAATTACACGCAGTAGGTATTTATATTTTCTTTTTCAGAAGTATTTTTTTACTGAACATATAATATATATACTTATACTGACTGCTGCTGCTGTAGTGTTCCGGCGCCCAAGTCTGAATAATATTATTATAATGTTATCGTAGTCTTTCCGAAAGAGATTTCTCGGGTCGCAAATAATACCTACTCGTGTCACATAAATAACGTAAAGCCGCGTACGGCGTATATTCGGGGGATGGTCACTTGGACGAAGAAGAAAAAAAACGGTCGACGAAAAAAGCATGAAAAACAATGATAAATAATAACAATAAACCTCCTCCTTCTCCTCCTCCTCCTCCTCCTCCTCCTTCTCTCCCACCCCTTTCGGTACCGCAATACGTAGTCATCGTCGTCGTCGCGTATCGGAAAGCGTTTGCGAATTTCTTACTGCTGAATATAACGAGGTACGATATTATGCTCGGTTATTGTTTTCAATGTGCAATGAGCGTATAAATAAAAACACCTCTATATATTATTATATATTGTCGACGATGTAGTATTTTGATGAGCGGCCTTGGAAACAACAAAACAAATAAAGTAGAGCAACGAAAAACCGTATTCGTTCGGTCTAACGAGAGTCTGTTTGAAAATAACGTGCAGTGGGTTAAAATAATATAATATTTCGGTGGTTGAAAAAAAATTACCACCACACGCGTGTACACGAACACGAGTAGATTGTTATCGCGTATCTCATCGACACAAATGTTTTTTTTTTGTTGTTTTTATAACGGTTAATTATGTACCAAGATAGCCCGGCCCAAAATAATTGGGACGAAGACGACAGCGAAGAAAAAGACTACTTAATTAGTTCGTTTATCAGATTTTTGCGCCGGTCGTGTGCAAGATATTTCGTTTGCGATAAGCGAATAACAAGCGTAAACCCGTGACAAAATAATTAGCAGTCGTGACGGCAAAAAATAGTAATTTCTATATCACCGTGTATGCAACCCAGACTATGAAGGAAATATGGTAATAATTAGATCATTTGGTTCCGTAATGGTCCTATTGAAAAAAAAACGCATATGCTTTTAAACGGCTTATAAACACTAAAAATATGAGCGTTTACAAACTAAAAATCACTATTATAAAGTAACAAACTACCCGAAACGAGGTTTTTAGCGACAAAATGAATATCTAATTATTTAAATGTACGATATAAGACTTTTACTAGTCACTTTACATAACGTTTATGTACCTATGCACTGTGTATTATATTTGTGTTTGTTTGGATCCGATCATTCGTCTTGATAAAGGTTACTATTACTATCGTAAAATACTTCTATATGATGTTACCACACACTGATGGCCTTTATGATCATGATCGAAACAGAATAATTTTTTAATCAAATCATTGCACGATGGATTTATCGTTTGTTTTAAGACTGAGGCGCACTTCATAATATTGCTATACGCAGAACACAGTCGGCTGGTCGGTATTTCGGCGAAAATAAATAAAACTTTTGATAACTGACGGCGAAACGATTTTTTTTTTCCGGTCGTCTAAAACTGCATAAGAAGAGTAACGTGTGGGGTGGGGAATCTAATTTTAATTCGGGCGATAAATAAGCGGTATTATCATTGCTTTTCTGCACTTTTAAATGTTATTCGATCGAGTCCGGTCACTAGAACTATTACGCGCAATAATTGGGGGCTAGTATTGTTAACGCATGCAAATGCTATATGAAACGGTTAAACAGTTTTGCGATTGTGATTTCGAAAGTTATATTTCTCCAGAAGTCCAAACTAATCTCCTGCACCTCTTCGCGTGCAAATTGCGGTAATAGTCATGCGAGGTCAGTTCGATAGCGGTTCTAAATTAACCATTGACACACGTACATAACCGTCTGCTACCTTTAGGGCCGCTAGCGGCTGAACCACTCTACGTGTATTTAGTAATAACATTCAATCAACAATACGCGATACTATGAATTATGATTCCTGTATCGTATACCTGAATATTAAATTTGGTCTAAACTTGCATGCAGTATCCCGTTAAACTAAATCGCCGCCCATGGGTAAAATACATTTTGCCGTGCTATAAATATCATTCAAGTGTTAGAAAGAGACTACAAAATATTGTTGGTTCGCAAAAATTTGTCACTTCCAAGTAACTGCTTCCCATTAAATGCAGCTTATAAATTAACCGATTAACAGTTTTTTATATATATTTTAAAAACTAAAAAAAAGAATAATTAACTACCTAGCTGTCTCGATAAAATAATGCGGTTATTAATTGCGGCATAATAATAGTGAATTTCCACAACAAGGAGGTAAACTGTAAATTGTTAGGTCTTTTTCGGTGTTTCTGTTTAGTATTTGAGAATTTTTAGTGATTTTAAAAAAAATTTGTATAGTTTTATAATATATTTGGTTGGCATTTTATAGTGCATTTTTTAAGGTTATACAGTATTATTCAATTCACAGCCCTGATTATTGTAACTACATTATTCGTTTTGAAATATATTTATTTAGAGAATGACCGACTGACTTCTACTGTTGAAATAAGTATCAATGTATAAATTGTACACGTTTTTCCCGAGATAAAAATGTCCGGAAGATTTATCCGGAAAAAAATTAATAATTAATTCGAGTATTATACAATTTGGCGAAGATTTCTGACGCACACGAAAGAAGTTTTAACATTCAAGGAAATTCTGAATGTAAGACTAAAAGTCGATTTTATTACTGGTCTGAGATTGCGCAATAGTTGCGTCTAAAAAAAAAAAAAAAAATGATCCTAATTATGCCACCAAGATACTGTATTATTTACCGGTGTGTTGATGAAATTGCGTGTTGGCCGTTTCCGTCGTAAAATAACAGTCTCTCTGATGAATTATATTATTATTATTATTATACTGTGGTGCTTCACTACCATGCACTATATTGCTACATCCGCCGTGCGATGACAATTTCACAAACGCAAATGTTTTATCGCCGCCGTAAACTTACTATTGAATTATTTTTCATCGTTTCTCAAAATGCGTTTTTAATGTGATTAAAAAGCGTCCGACACGTTTCACAAAAATATCTACCGCGCTCCTGTAACAATATAATAATAATAATAATAATAATACGAGTATAACGACATGGTGTCCGTGCGGAAGTTGTTGTAAATTATTGTGTTGTATGTCCAGTCTTGGCCGTCAGTCGAAAACTATAAAACTCGAGTCTTTATATCGAACGTGATGCTTGACTCGACTATACCGTCACGATATTACACTTACGAAAACGATCCGGTCTCGTTCGCAATACGTGCGTTTTAATCATATTATAAAATGCTATTGTTGTCTTAAAAAGTTTCGTTTGCCACACGGATGAGAAGGCGAGATCGTATTATACCGGAAGTGTGGAACACACGACCCAACCACGTGTTACACGTCAATTTACGATGACAACGGACACGTTATACCAGGAAATGGACACTCGGTTGCCATTTTGCTAGAGGTAAACCACGTAGAATAAAATATCAGCTAACATGATAGAATAACGGTCAGATTCTTTCCCTCGACGACTTGGCAATTATTTTCGTCGCCCCTCTGTAGGTGTATTATGCTGTTTTTGATGTGTAATTTTCTATCGTTATCTATTATGATTTCTATAGCCTGTGGTTTTATTATTGTTCTTATCAGTGACAAGCGTCCATGACGATATAATTATAATTTTAAAATAAAGGAGTGAAAAAAGAAAAAAAACTACTACACTCGCATTATTTTCGTATTTCCGTAGAGATATGCGAAAATGGAAATGTGGTTTGCGTCTTAAAGATAAAAATACTGCGCAGTATTCGGACGCGAGGTATACGCAGACCTTAAAATTAATTTTGTTTTTCATAAGTGAATAATTCATATTTTATTTAATTATAAATTGATGTATTCCTACTCCGGAAATCACTGCACCCGCGGTACAGTAACTGCAGCAGCAGGACTGCAAATTTAATGAAAACAAAAAAATAATTAAAATTAAAAAAAAATTAGAACCTAAATTATTAATAATTTGGCTTCGCGGGTACATTTAATTTTATCGTACTTTTTACGTTTCAGTAATTAAAAAGTCGTATCCAAACGATTATTTGTATTTTTTTAAATTTCTCCAATTTCAAAGAGCTATAAACAACTCGAAAAAAACGTCGGCATATTTTAAAAATCGTACCACGTCTAGAAAGTGACATTATATAGGTATATTTAGTGAAAATGTCAGGTCTTTACGACTGTTGTTTAATGAATTGCAAAAAAAAAAAAAAAACAGTATTTTATTGCGTAAACATTCCGGCGTTTTTCCGACATTTTTTCCCAAATAATACCTCTCTCAGTTTTTATAGGAAGATTGAGGACATTGTAATAACGGCTGTTCAAATGTGTCATCTGAGTTCAAGATTTGTTATTAGATACCATTACTGAGTCAATGATTGGAGTAAAATGTCTGATTAAAAAATTGTTTCCCTTCGCTCAACACCTATATGGAATTGAAGAATGTTCAATATTTAAATTCTGTCTTATATATACTTAATTCAAATATACTTCACACCGTGGTAAGTAGACAGTTTGAAAAATAACTATAGTATAAGGTGATTTAATTTAAAATAATAATAGATCATTGAAATAAAAAATTATTCTAAACAGAGTATTGTTTTCGCTTACGTCCTAAAATACCCAAAAACAGAAAAAAGTAAAACCAATATGTCGATATTTTGTTGTTAGTTTTTTTTTAATTTATTAAAAAAACTGTTGAAAATCGAGAATATTGTTTTTGATATTTATAAAAAAAAAAATAGCGCAATTTTTCAAAAAAGTATTGGGAAGTTTGATAAATGTTTTGAATAATGTACCATCTGGAAAAAAAATCCACTTCATTTAAGACGTGACATGAAATAACTGGAACATTTTTACTAACCTAAAAAGTATTTTCGAGAAGAAAAAAAAACGGCTATCATCTTAGTTTAAACTAATAGGAATCTTGTTCGCTACACTGAGACTAATTAAAATTACATTTTTTACGTTATAAATATTTAAGTACCTTGGAATATCTATGTTATGATATTAAAAAAAAAAACCTCGTCAGCTTGAATTTTAAATCGGAATATTTTACGAGCTCGAATATATATATTTTTTTATTAAAAGAATATTCACAATATATTATGCTTCAAGGCACAATAAGCAAATTAGAAAACTGAAAAGAAATACACGACAATTTGTTTACGAGAATGAGGGAGGCCATCCAATGCAGATACAGAAACGAACTAACATAAAATATTAAACAAACATTTCTAAGTACCGATATAATATACGCACGAGACGTATATTATATTGTATAATTGTGTAAAAGATTATGCGTTTGCGATTTCGTTACAACATTTTTCGAAGATCTCTGAGATAAAATAATTATACAATCGACATGCATTATAGTATCGACTATGTATTGTGCGAACGAGTTATAGTATTTTGTCCTTCCGAGTGTATACCAACAACAAACAATAATTTAGTAATTTAATCCATCCTAAACATATTTTGTTATATAATATGTTTATATTTTATTTTAAACAAATACAATATTGCGCGGTATACAATCAATACAGAACTGTAGAAGCTTATTTTATATTTCCAGCGTCAGGGCGCCAAAAGTTGTATATACAATTTGTATAATTCACGTTTGTATTTTGTTTGTATTAATGTAATATTATTACTGTATTCGAATGTATACACCTATACACGTAAATAACATATTAGTTGGAGGAACACCGAAAAAGTCGATTCACTTACTCGGCTGGACGCACTGCACCGGCGTTTGTGTATTATTTTTTATTTTCAAATCAATAATGCTGCATATAGATATGTATAGTTTAGTATAAATAACAAGACACGTGGCCTCAAGTAACGCGAGATCAAATGCTATTTTCAAGAAATTTCAAAAAACAAAAATGGTACGATAAAATAAATATTATAATGTTCCTTTCTGTCCGGGAGATGACTGCGGGGTACAACGAAATATACGAAGTCACAGAGAGAATCTATCGGCTTAGACGAGTTGTCGCGACGAAGATATCGGGAACCTATAAAATCTGGGAAGAAACCTATAGCCAAAGACGTTCGGAGAGTTGATAAATAGCTGTGTAGACGGGACGAAAACCTGAAAAAATATACAGACGCACTGAAATGGCAAGAACGAAAGTACACAATTGCGATCAGTGGAAGACAACGTCGAAATCGGTGTGCACGTTAATGATAACATTCGTATAGAACGGATTCGGCGGTTTAATTACGACACACTGGCGAGGTTCGGTATTATTTTGTCGATGTTTAAATTCACTCGTATACAGCTATTTAAAAGGGGGAAAAAATAATGATACGTTGCCATCGTTTTTCTATTCCGGTCTCGTGGTGATATTTCAGAAATACGATTTTCGTTTGCGTGTCCCGTTAAGTACACGAGCACACCTGTCTGCGAATTAATCCGCTTTTGTCGACGTTTTAACAATTAGAGAAATCTTTTCCGATGTACTCGCCGTATCTTATCGCGTCTTCATTGCTATCAGGTTATACGTGATTGTCTTGTAAAACCCGTGAAGTACGTAACTTGATAGATGTTTATAAAAAAAATTAAAACGCGGTAGATAATAATCTCGGTAATAATAATTTATTTGAGAATTTCGATAATAATAATATATAATGCGGACAAACGAGTAAAAAATCAAAACGGTAACATGCACACAAAAATAATCAGTTTTTTAAAGGTCTGTTTAAAAATTTAAACAAACCGTGACTATAATATTATACGGCCGTAATATTACTACCATGTGTGATGCATTGCAATTGCAGTTGACTGAAAACGATAACGACATTTCGAAATTTCTATATTGTTTCGTCTTTGAATTATTGTTACATATACCAACGAATTAATTGCCAAAAGCATCGAGTATATAGTCTCTGTAGGTCATTAGACGTTTGTAAAATAACTCAAAAAGTTTTCATCTTAGGTCACGGTGTTCAAACTTGGGTTTCTCGTATACGTGACGGCTATCGTCGTTAAAACTGCAGGTTTCAATAACTTTTCGGCAATTTTGTCGAAAAGTATATTGGAAAATTCGGGAAAAAAAAATTATATCTTCAAAGTGCTTAAAAGTATTTATATATTATACGGCCAATATTCAATCTATATACGGAAAGGCAATATTATGAAACTTTTGCAACACTTTCTCTGACCGAAAAGCTCATTATCGTAAACAAAAAAAAACAAAAAAACCCAAAACCCAAAACCTCGTACGCTAAAGATAATAATTTATCCGCGATGAATCCAAAATTAAAACCAACGAATTGGATATTAGAATTTTGAAAAAAAAAAATGAATACTAATACAGAACATGAGTATAAAAATGGTCGAATTATGGAATTCCGTTATTTTCGGACTATTATAATATCTGTCGTTATTTTTATGAGAACGACAATATTTAGTTTTACCAAAATATCAATTTCAATAATATTGTTAGACATTGAGTATTGTACTTTATAATAATATAAAATTAACATTTTTCAATAAATGTAGCTGATAATTGTGCACACCCGGGAAAATGAAAATCCAATGTACATACATATTATAAGGACGAAATTCAAGTAACCTCTCCACCCCTAACGAATTTCCCGAAATAATGGATACTTCGTGTCTAGAAAACAAAAATGTTGCACTTAAATCTGACTTTCGTGAATGTCTTATATAGTTGTGGGGTTTTTAAAAAGTACTAAATTCCAATCAATTATTTAATAAAATTCATCTGATAAAAGATAGTAAATATACGTGTTTACCATACAATTATACTATAGGTATAAACGAACGCGTCATCGGTTTTTGATTTTTTTTTTTTTGTATAACGACAAGTGCAAGTCAAACGAACGCAGATAACACGAACCTATTGTTGTTATTATGTTAGACGTGAATCCCAGTTGTTGAGTGCGATTGTATAAGAAAAAGTTCACCCTCGTAAAAGGCGAAAATGACGTTCCGAAATCGTCTGTAACATCACGAAATACTTGAACGTGTTATCCCGTGTACAAACAACAAACCGGCAGGTTATAATAATAATCACAAGAATTGTGTACCTACCTATTCAAATTCAAAATGTTATCAATAATTAAAACAAAACAAAAACTATTACGTCGCAGATAATTTTGGGACAAAAGAACATTTTAGAGATCGAAAAAGGATGACTGTTTTGGGTTGGACTTGCACGGAAAAGCCAAAACCCATTACTATACGGCGCACGGGTGGTGCTGGAACAGAACCTGACAGAGAAAAAGACCTTTGGGAATGCCAAAGATAAGGTAGAAATACATAAAAATATAAAAAGGTTGTGAAGCTTTAGACCAAAGTGGATGACGATATCTGTGAATCGGTGTATAGATAGCAGCATGAATATGAATTGCTCTTCAGGTGAGCAAGTGTCTTTGGATGGTCGATGTAAACTAAAGATTTCATCGTAGTCCCATAGAAAAATATCACATGGTGCTAAATCGGGTGAGCGCGCTGGCCACTTAAAATCGTTCGGTAAGGAGATGACCTTTACCGTAACTGTTTGATTGTTGTCTTCAAAAATCCATGGTCCAGTGATATTAATTCTGAAAAAACACACGTTCTATGTGCACAAACTGTCTAGGGTTTCCCTAAAGCTTTCTACTCACAAAATAATGGATTTTCCATCAAGAGCACGACACCTGCAGTTGCAATAATTGATTCCTAAATGCACGTAGCATGGTGATAATTGAACGGCCGCTGAAAAAGTACACTTCTAAGTCGAATGTGCGTTTCTCCATCGTCTACTTCATAACAGTTAGTAATCCTACACCACAGAAAATTTAGATCCCACTCTTTTGAACGAGCGCCATCTCATCCTTCTCGGAATAACTTTCATTAGAGGGCACGCATTTCAAATAAGGAAGATCCTCTGCCATATTTTATAGTTCATGGACACTTGGACTTAACGATTAGTTAAAAATAATTAATCAAAATGATCACAGCGCATGTAAGACGCTGTGCCTAGTGGAATGCAGCATAGGTTGGCTCGTACACCGGGTTCCATAATTATAGGGGTGAAAAAAAGCCATTCCAAATTAAAATTCGTTTTATATAATACATATAATTTTATTCAAACAAAATTAATTTTTGTTAATTATACTTGTCATATTAGAAAATTGTATTTAATAGTCATTTTACAGGAGACCTTTAAACCATTCTACCATTTGTTCTTATAATATTTTTTTTAAAGTGCTATTTTAGGGCATTTTTAGGAGATTTTTCGAAAATTTTAAGTGCAAAAGTTCTTATATTAAGTTTGAATCCGATAATTATATTGTTTATCGAATTCAAATTGAAAAAATCTAAAAAACAATAACGAAAGTTAACAAGCTCAATGGAAATAATTAAAAAAGATGAGTTTTTGAATGGGAAAGGGAAAAATAAATCTGAAAGAAATTATATAAAGAACTTAATTGCGAAGCATATTTCTTTATGTATCCCTATAATATATAGGTAGGTAGCATTTAGTGCGTAATGAGTTTGCATAATTAACTTATAGGGGGAAAAAATGAAAAAAAAAACATGGTTATAATTGAGTTTTAATAGCCGATATCGGGATAAAAATATTATACCTACTCAATTATAAAATATACTTAACTAACGGTTCCTGCTATCCCGCCCGTGCCTTGTCCGTTACAAATTAAACGCCCGTGGATATAATCTCCTGCATTCTGGCCTTTCTCATAACTATCATGGTGTAATACTGTGTAGGGATAATGGTATTATATATTTAAATAGAATTAAATTTTAAAAAATTTAGTATTATTTGCGGCTAGGAAACACAGTAAATTTTGTGTATCTGTGAGTTAACTATGTTAATAATAATATATCTATTAAGAAGACGTGATATTTGCATGTGCTGTCTCAGTCTTATAAGTACTACAAAGGAAACTGTCCAACAGAACACATTTTCTACAATAATTTTAAATATTATGTAACTAGTTTATCAAATTTAAAGGTTCAGAATATTGTCCGTGTTTGTACGTCAGTGTTTTTTGGTACCTAAAATTGTAAGCGAAATATGAGTAAATGAAATACCATGATTTATAAAATGTTTATAATCTCGCTTAAAAATAAAATTTAGAGATAAAAAAACCGACGTACAATTACGGATAGAGTTCTTATCTCGTTAAAGTTTGATAATAAGCCACTCTAATATTAATATTAATAGCACGGCATTGGTCCTGATAAACGAAAATTTAAAGTGCATTTGCAAGATGTATTACTATGGTACCGTTTATTCCTCTTTATAAATGCCGATATTAAATGAATAAGTAATACATTATGGCAGATATCTGCCACAAAAATAAAAGCTAGAAAATATTTCTTCTATCCAGCCAGTCCATTGCAAATTTTACAATAGGTTCAGTGATAAGTGAATTTAATCAAAAATTTAAAAAAAAAAATAAAAATAATAGCCTTTTTATGTTAGTTTAATATATTCTTCACTGGAGTGAGTTAAAATTGTGAAAATGCATATCCCCTATATAACAATAAAGTGTACAGAGTCATTCACTAAGCATGCTCACTCCAGTTTTATGGTTAAATTTTGCATATATTCCAATTCTGATTTTTGGAATTGTTACGCATAGGTAGTTACAGTCGATATTTTCGAATACTTATATTTTTTACCAAATTTCAGGAGTACCCTGTGTCGATACCAACTTTAGTATTTTAAATAAGAACCTATATTTAAAATTCGATAAATAGATGGATCAGTTCAAACAAATTTTGGCATTAAAATGTTTGATTTTGACGAGATATTCCACTTTTAGGTAAGAGGAAAGTGTGGAACATTTTGGAATTTTTAATAAAGTTCTCATTTGAAAAACTAAAGATAGTATTGCTACTCCTTAAATAATGCAAAAATCTAAGTATTCGAAAATATCGACTTTAATTACATTTCAAAATTCTAAAAATCAGAATTTTAATGCATGCGAAATTTAACAAAACAATTGAGGTGATCAAGCCTAGTGAATCTATACATTTCCTATTTGAGTTTTGATCATGAGTATGCAGTAGTAGTCCATATCTTCTTAGGCCGTGGTATTAATGCAATATCATACATTGATTACCTACTGAACTGCGTTCGAAAACTCAGATTAGAGTAAATAGTAATATCGAAATAGTATAGAGTAAGAATAGGGTATAGTAGAAAACTTATACCATTATTCGAGTTAACGTCACGGTTAAAAATAAGGTTAATACTAACAATAAATAATAAGAAGTGTTGATAATTTCCCATAGTATAGAATAAGTCACTGAGTATAACCACGAAAAAAACACAAAACTAGAAAAAAAAAAATGTGCCGTGATAAAGATAACTTGTTATCATTATAATATTATACTATGACCATTTTTATGAATAGAGTTAAATAGAACTTTCCTATTTACTTTGGGCCATTCGAGTTAACCCACAGTTGATAACTTTGAGTTATCTAACGGTAGTGCGGATTTAACTCTGATATCTCGAACAACACAATAGTTTACTCTAGTTAGGTTAGGTTAGGTTAGGGCTACATCGAGTTGAGTATTCGAATGTAGCCCAGCATTGTCATTCCTATAGTTAAACGAAAAATAAATAAATAAATATCTGGTTTTGGAGAGGTATTTGTTCGACTTTTTATCGTGTATTATTTACCTGGCGCATACCGTTTATGTTGTTATGGTGAGAATTCTCAGTGATTTACATAAAAAGGTACACAATTCCGTACCTACTCGATTGAATGTTCAAAAGACACTTCTCTCTCGCAATAATTATTTGCGCGTTTATATTTTAATCCCGGCATCGCGGATATTCGCTGCAAGTAACGTGGCGCATGAGTGATGTTTCACAAGTGAGTTCAATTTATGTATTAAGAAGGGCACGGCGCGTTCTTGATTTTATTAAATCGTTGTAGTGAAGTTTATTTGATAGGTTTTCGTAATATATATAGCGCAATGCTCCTATGTACGATTTGTTCCACTAGAAATCCATCTTAAAGTTTCACCAAAGTCTAATTCTAACTTGTAACGTGTGCGTTATATTATTATACGAAGAAACTTCTAATTTCATTGTCGAATTAGTGCTGCTGTTGCTGTTGCTGTTTCAACAACACGCGAGTATTTTAACATTATAAGTAAAGGTATCGGTGTAAATATGTGTTACAAGAAACCGTGACTGATATCAAATTCTTCGTGGGCTTAGTGCGAATAAAAACAAATTTTCAAAAAAAAACTATTCGGAACCAAGTTCAACTAAACATATTTTGAAAAAATTGACCGTGTCTATAAAAGTCTAATGTAAAAAAATTGTATGTATCTCCGTAATGGTTCAAGTTTTTCTACCTTTTTTGCCAGTTTATTTCCAATTAATAAAAAAACAAAAACTAGAAAGAAAAATCAAAAATGACCTTACAACTAACAAACTACACCCAAATTATCTTTCAAAAAAGTTACCGCATTTGAAAACCAGAGACAGATAAGAAAATAAATCATATTGTAGTAAAACCAACATTATACTATTCATACTTAGCTACAATTGATCGTACTTATACCACGAATATACACAAACGGTTCGGTGTAATCGTTAAACGATTGTAGTAGAAATACTGAAAATGCATAAAACTATCGCGAAAGTCGTCATTACTTGACAATAAGTTCGTTTGATGTCGTAATTATCTTATGATATTACCAATAATAATAACTTCGTCAATGGTATATCTTTGTGTAAGTTTAACCTAACTGTGAAGCTCCTAGGAGAGCACAACAATATCTGGGAAATATACAGTTTCAGCGGTATTATACACAGTCACCACCGCGCTATGTTATACAACAAATCACTTGGTAAACTAACTATTCAATAAAATAGTATTATTATATTTTGTACACACATATTCCACAGCCGCCGCCGTTAAAAAGAACGTTCATTTCAATTCATAGGACATTTCAAGTCTTTTTGATTATTTTTAACTGATCATAAAAACATAAAAATCAAAATAGGAAAATCCGAGAAACCGCGTTTCCTAATATTTTATCGTCTTTTCTCCAATTATTAAGAGAACCATACGAAATATTGACAAATGATCAAATAAACTATGAATGGAATTTGCTATTAAAAAATTCTCTTGTTGGTTTTTGATATGAGCAACGTTTCTTGTAGAAAAGTTCAATGGCGCCGAACCTATAACCCATGAGGAACAGTCGCTCTCCCCCTTTTTTTCAGTGGGTGGTGTTTGGTTGGTCATAACGAAAGGGCGACCTTTAAAATTTACAAGGCATACGTTTATGATAAAAACATAATTTTAACTTTAATGATTGATATACACACAATTAAATACATCTAAGTACTGTGATATAGTAATTTCATTTTTAAATTAAGTATGTATTGTTTATATATATAATACATACATCAATTTTTAGTGATACAAATTATTTTTTATACTGCAATTAGTAATTTCGTTTAAAACATTTTAAACTTTTTTGAAGAACTGATGGGGGCAATTTCCCTCCCCCTCCCTTGGATCTTCCGTGGGTGGTGTGTACACAAACTAATTTTGTCCCTCCCAAAATTAATTTAAGTTCGACGGTACTGGAAATGTTGTTAACAGACACAAAAGATTAAAAATTAAAAGTAGATATGATGTTATAATATAGGTAGTAGAACTAATATAACACATTCTTCCACTACGTTTAGAATCTAAGAAAAAGATCAGATACTGCTGTTAACTGTGCCACTATTATGGATGGGAAGTAGAGCTCTACACGCTCTAGTCTTTTTGGTATTTTTAATTTTAGAATTCACTACGGTCCGGTCTCGGTCTTATTTATTCATGAAAAAAATAAAAGGTCTAGTCCAGTCCGGTTCCATGGTTGATTCCATTAGTCTGGTTCAGTCCCGATCTTAATTTGACTTCACTGGTCGGGTCAGGCCTTTAAAAACTCGATCATGCAGAGCTCTAATAGGAAGTCAGAAAGTAGGGTAAACCTATAAAAAGTTGTTTGAATCATAGATAATTTTTTACTGTCTCTCAATAGACCAACTAGACAAAATTTGCTACCATAAGCTATATCCCTGAAGTGGTTGATCAGAACAAGATTTTTGACAGAAAAGGTGTTAACAGATTTGAAAAATGCATACATTGTAGTAAAAGTGATATTCATTGCGCTCAGAATATTATACATTAAATAGAAAAACTTACCCAAACATAATCGATCTGCAATTTATTCCATAGACATACGCACGTTTTGTGCGATAATTCAAGTACATACTCAAATACTAAATCCGTAGTGCATTTTTGATTAGAAAACTTCAATCTACAGGAAATCAATACAACGGTAATACCGGTGAAAACCAATTGATTGTATTTATTACTACACAAAAGTCAATAAAAGTGGTGGCACCTAAATACATTTTTTTAATCGTACTATTTATTTTGCTCTTAGCAGTCAAAATGTTTTAATTGTTATAAAAACTTCAATGTATAATTATGTTTGTGTACCTATAGGTAGGTACTCGGTCGAATTAATTTTTTCGACTTTGCAGAACGTTTATTTTTTCACTCAATCTGTAAAATTTTCCAGATTTACAAAATATTATTTTAATTGGTTTCATTCGAATCCTGTTTGGCTAGAAAATATTGTAATAATGTAATAAACGATTTTTTTTTTCAAACCAGATTACCAACAAAATAAAGTGTAGGGAGCCGTGTAATTCAACGAGGAGTTTGATGTCTCGGTTAAATTTCTTAGTGTAGTTAATAAAATTAGAGACGAAATCGTTTCTAATATTAGATAAGATTAAAAATAAAAACATTATTATGCTGCTTTTTTTAGTCAAATTATACTTTTTATATAGTAATTACAATGTAGTTCATTACATTTGAATCCTGCTTCAACTCACCTCCCGTCGGTTATTTAAATCGCAATCAAACGTATGGATATACTTTTCCAGACGTAAATCTCGTAAAATAAATTATATTTTACAATTTGGTATAACTTGGTCTTACTATAATTTGTGTGTGTTTTTTTTGTCTGTAGACAACTTTTTCTCCAGAAAGTTTTCTCCGGTTTACAAAAGTTTAACATCTTTTTTAAGAGTAAATTTTATTTAACTGGTATATTGGGAAGATTTTTTTATCGATTTTACCCATAGTTTTCATAATAATCGGTAAAATCCTAGAATAAATGAAATAATGTATAGCAATAACGATTTCGTTATTATTTTAGATTTTTTTTTTGTAATTAAATTAGATATAATTTTCGACACCCAATGTGTTCAAACAACACATATTAGTTTTTCCCGAATGATATACTTTTCAAATCATTATAGTGATTTTTGAGCTATATTTTAACTACATAGGAACTTTACATTTTCGAAGTTTTTAGGTATTTTATTTGGTTTTATGTGGATAAAGTTATTTTGCCAAAGCATAATGCTTGAACATTTTACTTGTGGTTAGTTATAATTTGTAATTGGAGGCAAAAAAAAAGTGTTACGCATAACTTAGTAGATTAAACAAAAAATATCCGTTCAGAGTTCAAAATTTGAATGTAAATTATAAATATCACGGCATTTTGCGTAATATATTTGAATTTATGAGAATATTATTATTTTATATTTTCACTTTGCTAAAATGTTTAAATATTGAATATGATCATTGTTTTTGGCTTTTTTTTTTTTTAATATTCAAAATTTAGTTTGCCAATAATGATTTAACGGTTAGTTAAATAGTTCGGAAAATTAAAAAATGTCAACTATTATACAGTGATAATATTTTGACCGCAAATATAGTCGATTTCAACCGTCACAAGAGCATAGCTAATCATTTTACGTACATATAAAAGTACATATTAAAGCGGTCCGGTTATATTCGCGGTGTTTGAAGTCCATCACACTAAAACCATACCAACCCCATCAAATATAAATTAACTAATTTTTGGATAACGTCTGCGCGCAAAGCAAACGAAATATTATATTAGTATACAGAATATCAGGAATAATTGTACGCCCGTCATATGATGTATGACGGGTTATAACGGCTACCGATATGTTTGAAATGGATAATTCCAAATCCAAATGATGAATGGCGAAAATTATTTAACTTGCGAATAATTTCAATGAAACCGAACGTTTTAACCAAAGTTTTATTTTGTTGTCAAACGCCGAAACAATTATTACGTACAAAACCGGCGCATAATGACTTTTAGATAGATATACCTATATAACGATATCGAAAAATTCGAGATCAGCTCTAACCAATCTATTGTACGTCAATCGCACTCATCTGATGAAATTCTACTACAATGACCAATACTCGTTCTTAATGTGTATTTACATTTCAGGAAACTGCAGAATACATTATGAGATATAGTTACATTGCAGTCATAATTATTAAAAATAACAAATTATGCACATGTAACACGTGGGCATATCTACAATATTTCGGTTGAGAGGATGTCACACCTGGCATACTCGCAGAGACACTCTAATACAGTAAAATAACGTTATTTCGATCGTGATTTGTGGCATTTAGATTGGAATAGATGTTACATCATGAATAATAAAGCTCAAAGAATTAAAGCTATTTAAAAAAAATAAAAAAGAGAATAACTAACACGGTGGTGTATAATAACTTTGTTTTTAAAAAAAAAACTGCGTTCAGCCCTAGAAAATATGTTCCTCTTTAAATGCTATTATTTGTGTTTAAATTCCGATTTCAATTAAAACGCCACGATATTTACGTTTTTTTTTAACCCGATTTTCTGTCGCTTTTGAATGTGCATAATATAGTGTGTATTAACTCGTTCATGTACTTATATATTATTATGTAGGACAATGACGCCGAAGGGTCGCGTCTTTGAAAACTGAAAGTATAAAAAATATTATCTCATAAATATATTTATATAGAAAGAGAAAGAGATCAAGCGATGATGATGATGATCTTGCACAGTGGCGAAAAAAACCGCCACCCATCAAAACGTACAGATTTCTCGAGCTTATTATTTATATTTCTCCTCTGGTGTCCTTAAACAAGTTTTCGAGTTTTATTTTCAAATAAATCTACCGAAGTACCTATATTTACAATACTCAGAATTCCGGTATAAGATATTATATTATTTTGATGATGGGTACATAATGATATTGACAATGGAAAATTGTTCATCAATATCCTTGTTATGAATGCATTTTGAACATAATATTATTCGACTATAAGTCTTTATTAAAAAAAAAAAAAATTATTCTCGTTGAAAACTTTTCCCGCGTTTACCTATACATTATTTATTCTCAGTATTTCTCTTCTCGTACCGTGTGCTGCAGTTATACATGTATAAAGAAAAATGCACGTATAGTTGTCATAAAACTTTGCGGTTTATAATTTTTGTTTTTTTTTTTTTCGTTTATAGGTCAGTGAGCGTTTTTGACAAAAAGTTTGTTCAAGTAAACACGCCCCGAAAACAACATAATAATTTATCTACTTAGATCGTTGTGTACACCGAAATAATTATACGAATATTATAAGCCCTTATCGTTTTAAAAAATTCTTTCCGGTTAGTTACTCTCTGCGTTGTATATTATATTAATACAATATAAACTGCAGTTTAGCTATTCATAATTATAATAATAATTGTTCTAAGTTTCTAAGTTTGTGTATAAACCCGAACGATTTCCAGACGAATAATACAGTATTGCAATATTGTTAAACCATATTCCACCGAGCACGGCGGCGAATAAATTTTCTTGTGTCATACAGCATACGATTATCACCATAGTATAATTTCTTCGTTGATATCGGTGATGAAAGGGAAATTAAAAAACTAATTTTTCTAATAACTGTGATATATTCTGTATTTAAAAAAAAAAAAATGTATTCCTTGTAACTACCAATGAAAACGAAATATTTTGTAAACAAATTTTTCTCTAATTTTATTTTTATTTTAACGTGGTAGGAACACGTCTATTTTACCTAAGTTCTAGAACAATAGGCGGCGGATAGTTAAAAATACTAATGTTTGATTTTAATTTCTTAAGTATGTATGCATTTTTTTATACCTTTTTCTAGGTAATTGAGAAAGTTGATTTTCAATTTTCATTCTTAAAAATCTCCAAAATTAAGAAATTATTTTTGAAAATGTTTATTATAAAATTAAAATTGCATTTATTTCAAACATACCAAATTATATATCAAACGATCTACTTTCTAGATAATCTAGACAATTTGCTAATAAATCCGTACATAGCTACTTTAAAGATGCCAATCAGACATTAAAAAGTAAATCTTATTTTACACCGCTTATTTATCTAAACAAAAACGTCATATTTGTTAGTAAATCGGCTGTAGCCCCCCCCACCCTTTTCCTTAATGGTTATCGAGCAGTTGATTTGTGGATTAGTGATTATACAAAAGTAGAAAGTAATTTTCAAATTTTAATAAATCGGAGAATATTTAGAAAATTGTTTTTAACTACTGTATATTCGTAATTTTTGGTCTTGTGTACCGACTTTTTACCTATTTTTTTAATGACAAGTATCTGTAACTTTTTATTAATAAACAAAATATTAAAAAAACTAATTTGGATATGTTCTGTATAATATTATCTCTAAAAACAAAAACACTGATTACCAAGATCATTTTGTAATGTTATATTGATCAAAATTAATTTTACGAAACTTTTACTACCTAGCAAACATAATATTTTGAAAACTACGTGTGACTAAAATGCTATACAGTCTCCGTTGTATTTCCCATACACGCAGTCATAATCTATACGAGCTTATGTGATATACGGATTTTTACAATATTTTAATAGGTATTACGGTTGTTACATTACGCCTAGTAGGTATTATACTAAACTTATTATATTATGATTCATAATATAATAGGTATATCTCTTATCATAATTTATGATAAGAATAACATAACGTTCTATTTCCGCGATTATAACATATCGGTAACGATTAAATCGTTATTTCGTGATGTCTTCGGGGCGTGTGTTTGCGTGTTAATGAAATTTTAGTATTTTCTCAAAAGTTACGGTCGCCGTAGCCGAGGAACAATAGAATCTCGGAATAATGTCATTATGCCGGTACAAACTTAATCTGTATTGCCGTAACGATTATTATACAAATTGCAGCGTGTCTATTGTAGTTCTGTGACAAAATGATCCGATATAATCATCAAAGACTTACACATCTAAACCAGTATATCCCAACCTTTTTAACATTACACGACCTATACGGACTACTTGGAGAACTGCCGATAGGTCACGAATCATCTAGATTTGCTGATGAGTAACCGAACATGACGACGGTCGGTAAAAATCCATATATACTTTGTTTTTAGTGATTTTACTATGTATTATTATTACAATGGGAGTATTTCTTTTTCCAAGTCTATCTCGGTTTCTTAACTACTGGCGGGATCCATCGCGTTTGTTTCAACTCGACCATTCTACTCGATAACACGAATTTGAAGACAAAACGTACGTACTCGCATATACTGCAAACAATACACATTTTAAACTATGGCCCGGTAGTATTTAAACGCCATTCTCCTGCAAATGTACTCATGAAATACGCACAAAACTTACTAGATCATGGGATGGCAAACACTATATTATTATGCTATAACATTAATGACTACGAAAAATGAAAATTTGATACAGTAAAACGAATTATTGAAAACAAGTTGCAGATTAGTGAAAGGAATGAAAACAAAACAAAAATGACTTCAATATAATACGTATGTAATATCAATGTCCCACATAGAACAACTGATGCTTCAGTTTATCAAACATAATATAATATATTTTACCACCTACCGGTGTATATTTTATCACATACATCCGAATATTTATTCGATAGTAAAAGTTTTAATGGAATATTCCGATCGGAAACCCGATCGGAATATTATTACCTACCTGCATCGTACAACGATCTGCAAATATCGAACAAGACGTATAGTAGTTGAAACGTTGTACAACAGTGCTTTACTTTTTGTTGCTGGTATATAGGGTCCCTCGAGGGAGGAAGAAATTGTTAACATAATATACTTTAGCATGGGTACGTATACGATATTTACAATTTTTACGCTTTTAACTTTAGTAATATTATTACTTTGAAATGTTTATAAATCTGGCTATATTTTTTTCTTCGATTGATTTGATTTTTTTTTTTAACGAGTTTACACGTTTATGATTTATTTTCGGAATTGGAATTATTATGGTAGGTAGACGCAGAAAGAAAAAGAGAAAAAAATGATTTGCTTATATTATAATTAATAATAATATGTAATTTTAAAACAATTCATTGTTAATGTTCATAATTTTGGTTGTTATTATTAAAAAGGTCTCATTAAGTACATATTAATATTTCTTTTTTAATTTTGTAAATTTTTATGAAAATAACTTAAGTTTTTCTCCTTTGAGATCAAAGATTTAAAATAATCGCGTGATCGTCGGTTTTTTCGTCAAAAAATTGTATAACATACCTTAATAAAACAAAAATCACGTAAATCGATACATTTTGATGAACCGTGGTGGGAGGAATTTTGGTGGGGGAATTTTGCAATACTATTGGTACGTATTATAGGTATATTTACATGAAAATAATAACTGCTGAGGAGTAAAAAAAAAAAAACCCCTTAACCGAATCTAAGATATATTATTATTATAATTAGGAGGGCGGGTTATGACGGGTAACTTGAGTGAAAAAACTACTCGGGCTATACATAGACTGCTTGTTTAAGAAGTCAAACGGTTACCGTAGGAAAAGGAAAATTGTGCATCGTTGATTTTATATCACAAAAATACTAAAAAAAGTCATTCTTGTTTAAAAATCTGATAGTTTTAACAAATCGCCCGAAATTACAGCGCACTTCATGGTACGAAGCACATAATAATAAACGTGTTGATATTTCGATTAAGCAACGAAGACGTATAATTTGTCGAGAGCGGTACCTGTATCTATATGGTACCCATCGTTGGGAACGTTGGGAAATTTGATTTTATTCTAGATAATAATAATAGTATAATTTGATTTTGTTCTAGATAATGTTGTACGTACAGTGGCGTAATCTATATCGGTTTGATTTATGTAATTCCGTGACCGTAATATTATCGTCTGTTCTATACGCACATATATGTACAGAATGATCGATACTTACTTGACACTACGTATGTACCCGTCTAAAAAAGTATGGTATTTAAAAAAAAAAATTATATATGTATAAATTTACATTATACGTATTATGTGCCAGTATTATCCTTGCCAGTGTTTGCGGTCTACTAAAATCGTCTTGTGATCGCGAGAACACGTATGACGCTGGTGGACGTGAATACGTAATTATTTATTTGATTAAATCGGAAATTGAATTAGTTTTAGTTAAAAGTATGCGTGTTTCTCAAAGGAAAAACACCAAGTTTATTAATTGAATTGCAGGACTTCGCTACGTATATACGATACACTATATGCCGTCGTTGTATACATTAATAATTAATTGTACAAAGGACAGGAGAAAAAGTCGATATTTTCAACGACTGTAGATCCCGTGAACGCGGGAGGCGGGGTGCGTTTGTTTTTTTTATTAGAAAACTAAATTATGAGAGTAAAAAAAAAAAAATAGTACGTAATTCCGTCAAATTTAGCGGTACCATGCAATACTACCTAACCTAATCGTAAGTGCCGGTCGAAAAAAAATGAAAAAATATAGTATACGATATACCTACCTACCTATTTGCTATCTACAGTGAAGCAACGCGTGGGTTGGCGGGTTAAGTTATTCTACATGTGTTGCATATAATATTATATAGAAAGAAGGGAAAAAAAAGTCATCAGTCTCGTCAAACAAAATATCGCTTACCTCCTCTCAAACGGCGTTGTGACGCACTCCCGAATATAAAAATTTATCGAAAGAGTACCGCGGATAAAAAAATATTATATTGCTTTCCGACACGTCGTCGTCGAATTTTGTCGTCGGTACCTTTGTAAATATAAAAGGCACACCGGTTTTCGCATATCGAAATACATCGTCGTCGGGATATACGGCGACGGGCTGTTGCCTGTACGGCAGGGAACAATATTCGTATATGTTATTAGATTTTGAAGAAAAAAAAAATCGTCTTATTATTTATCGTATCTATACAAATCAACATAACTCAAGAGACTCATTATCTCGGAAAGTATTAATTCTTTTCAGCATTTGTTTTATGGAACATTTAGAGCTCTTATTGTTGTTACCCTATATATGTTATGTTGTGAAACCACTGGCCACTTATGGTTTTCGAACGTCGAACGATATTGTAAATTCCGTAAATAGATTAAGTTTTAGTTTAAATACATTTTCGACTTGACATTTCTAATTTCCGTCGAACCGGTGACGAGATATTCTACTTTTAAGTTTGCCGGTTTGTGGGTTGAGAGGGGAACAATGGAGTCGTGCGCCCCGTTACCACACAAATGTTGCTCCACTACTATCCTCGTACCCAAACTTAAAAGTAAAATATCTCGTCAACGGGTCGATGGCAATTTAAAACGTCAATACCAAAATGTATTTGAAGTAAAACTTCATCTATTTATAGAAGTTTTAATGTAGATTGTTGCCATAAGATCTCATACTTCCCGACCTCAGTATAAATTTGCAAGACTGCTATGTATTTTTTCACACGTATTTTTTTTTTCGCCATGTTTCATTGTATATACATTATATAAATTTACATCTCTCTTATTAAAATATCCAGTATAATAGTGACGTGTTCATTGATATCGTATTAATATTGGTCAGCCTACTTATTCCCGTATAAAATCGTATTTGAATTACTCAATAAACGATTGTCGGTTTAAAAACAGAAAAAAAAATGTTTATACAAAGAAAATGTTATAAACCACGAGAAAAGTATTTTTTGGAATAACCAAAAAATTAATAGGTATTTGCTAATAGTTGATTTGTTGATTTGATAATAGTTCTTTTTAAGAGAAAACCTGTTGTATTTTTAGAGATAGCCGCCACTGGATTAGGTTCGGTACAGAGTTAAATTACTCCATGCTATGTCTTTCTTTTCAACTTCCCTCATAAAACATTGGTACGCACGTCAGCGGTAGTAGCATTTTATGTATATGGAAATAATAATAATATAATCCGTTGTCGGCCATCGAACGTTCTTCATTAGTTTTGAATTTCTGATTGTACGCGTAAGTTTTACCCTCATCGTCGTCGTATTTCGCGTACCTTACCCCACGCATATATGCAACAATAATAACATTATTCCAACGGATGAAATTGCGATCTCGAGACGACCGCGGAGTGCAACGTTCGATAAATCACGTTCGAAACGATAATAACAATAAAATAGAAAACAATACTGTGCATCGCGAACGCGGTTAAGATTATACGAGAAAAATAATTTACCGAATCGGGGATTCGTTCCTCGGGTATTATTGTTTTTGCAACAATCGACTGCGCGATGGCCGCGGTAATAAAATATCATATAATGTTGTAATATATGTAAGCGGGCCACATCCACTTCCCCACCGATGAAAATAAAAAATAAATAAAACGGTCGAAAAATCGAGGTACGGATGCAGAAACGTACAAATCTTGTCCGAATTCGGAAACAGTCGATACTACGTGACAATGAAGTTATAATGTCCTTAGTGTAAACCCAAAACCTTAAACCTATAAAGGCGAAAAAACCACGTCGGGTAGATCGATAATCGTGTCCACAATGATGGTTCGAGGCCGTCGAATCGGTTGCATTAAATTTTCACTGATTCTAAATTTGAGTTTTAACAATTGAAATTTTATTTTTGAAGTCATCTTGTACCGTCGTTATCACGATCCGTGAAGATGTTAAATAAACGAGCGCAATAAACGCGAATCGTATTCGATATATATATATATATATATTCTAAAACACAAGACAAATTCCCTAAAAAAATGCAATTTAATGCAATTAAAAGAAAAAGTTTAAAAAATGCTCCAAAATTTATTTTGAACGTTGAAAAACTTTTTTTATTAGGTATACATATTTGTAATGATTAATTAATTTTTTTCTTCTTCTCGTGTCATTCGTGAATCAGTTAAAGACGAGAATAAACGCAATATACGAAACACAACAGTGTATATAGTGCAATAAGACGACATTACAACTTTGATATTGAATAGCTTATCGTTTTCTGTATTGCATTCGGCATCGTTTTGTCTAGTAGGTACAATCGGTAAGGTAATAATGCATTTTAATTATAGAAATTATTTGTTTTTTCTTTTAGGATGAAATTGAAATAATTTCTATCAAATTTTTTGATAACACAATGAAGTTTTTATAAATAATAAAAAATGACGTAAAACCCTAAAATTGCATTTAAAATGTAAAATAATATTCTAAAAGTAAAAATAAGTTCAAAAAATAAAAAATAAAATTTTCGTATTTTAATTATTCGGTACTTGCAAAGAATTGTGTTGCAAAAGCATTGCTTTAGGAAATTCAGAAAAAAATACAATCTGCATTATAACCCGCACCCTAAACATTGTGTATTATAATATTTTAATTGGGTACCGCGTAGCGATTGGTGAACAAGATTTGTAAAAAGTTAATATCGTATAATGGATATTTTCGTACGGTTTCATTTTACGTATATTATTGTACGTATTACTCGTAAGAAAAAAAAAATAAAATAAAAAAAAAAAAAGAACACAAACTAATGTAAATTCGTTTCTTATTCCCATCGACGACACGCTGATTTTCCTGTGTCATAAAATTTCGCGACGTGTCTCTTGAAACTTGTACCCTCTACAGGAGACTAAGTCTATAAAATACGACCAAACGGAAAGTTTGATAAAAATTAAAAAGCAAGGTCGTTCCGAAAAGGTAACGGGTCTTTTTTATATATATATATTCGCGGACAGAGGCCTCGGGGGTGAAAAACGTATACGGGCGGTTTATCACTGTCGACAATTTTAAGACCGGCGCATATACCTACAGTATAACAATGTAGTATTTTACCGGGCGTCAACGCAAATGTTTCCCGGGAGACGTCGACAAAAATATAATGAAATATTTCAAAATATAAATTTCGTATTAACGGTATTAATACCATGCGCGTTTATTGTAGCGACGGAACATGTCCGCGCGATATGAATTCGAGGACTTCCCGTTTGTGGTTTGTGCCTGTATATCGAACGCGCGCGCGGTTGTGGATCGCTACGGGAAATGTACACGGGCAATACTGTAATTGTTTCTCCGAAGTTCGACGCGCCTATTATTCGCCGTGGACAATTTTATTATGATCTTCATGAACGTATTCGGATTTTACCCCCGCGATCACCGCGCAGCACACGACAAGAATTTCAGTAATCGAATTTCGACCCGAACGACAGCCGTGAAACGAATATACAGAGTTTTATTGCGTACGAAATATAAATACGCGCGGCCATTATGACTAGTGTCTGCGATTCACATTCTTTGGGATGTAAAACTTAAACGGGCCACGTGAACAATATTGCGTCATAATCGAAATGACTTTAGCGTATAATATCGACGGACAAAATAAATAAATAACTTGTAAATCCATTAAAAATCCATTAAAAATCCAAAAAAAAATGCAGGAAACGGCGAAACAGCGATACTTAATTATTTCAATGTTATTTTCCGCTCCGGTCGATCTAATAATCAATAAGTTATTAATAGTTAAACGGTGCATTTGCACAAACCGATGGCATTATCGTCGCCGCAATACATTATCATCTATTCAACGTATTCGAAATCGTTTATACGGATTGCACTTGAAGATAACGACGACGATGTTTAATACCGTGTACAGATGAGGTAGATGGGCATAAATCAAACTTGTGTTCACTGGCACACCTGAAAAAAATTAGTTCGGCGCCGCTGTACGCGTACAATAACGGTTATATTATGATAATAGTATTTTTTTTTTTCCGATTATCGACTATTCGCCACGTTCGTTTACAGAATCGTCAATTACGGACTAATAGCGTCTACGTTCGGTTTAAATCGTAACTAATAACAATTATTAATGGCACGCGTTGCAGCCGTGTAAATTGTACAAATTATAATTATTATTATACTGAACTGGAGAAAAATACATTTCGCCCGATCGCATAATAATAATTAAACGTCCGTTCGCGGCAGTCCATATTAATGTTTACCCGTACCGATTTATCGCTTTCGCAGCGCGGACAATTCGCATTGTATCTTAGGGACCGCCGGAGGATCCGTTAAACCGCCGTTGAATAGCGTAACGCCATTCGTTTCACCATTAAGATAATAATTTTCGGCGTCGTTTTTTCGTTCTAAACGACTCTGGGCCTTATTAACATTGGTATTTTAATTTCCGCGTAACTAAACTCAGACGAATACTTACGACTACATCAATCATAGTATGATAGTAACACGAAAAACCGCGAACCACTAACGAATTTCGGTCGTAGCTCATTCACCGCACCCATCTGTTGCTCCAGAGTGTGACGTCGTCGACCGAGTTCAAAAAAAAAAATAAAAAGAAAAGAAATGAAAATGAACGCACGCCGTACGATAATTGAAAACATTTTCCCATCAAACCCACCGTCGTCGTATTTTTTTATGAAACCGTAAGTTTCTTAAATAACATTACAAGCCGCTCAAAGGAGCGACGAGTCCTATGTTCCTGTACATGATTGGGAGTGTGTCGTAATATATGACCGTCTACCGCGGAGGTGATCGGAATCGATTTTAAGATGTTTCGATTGATGTTTGCCAGGTGTAACACGAAGAAAATGAACATTTAACTTTTGCCGTTTTAGATTCCGAGTGAAGCGAGGGATCTATTGGTTTCACTATGATGTGTATTTTATTTTCTCGTAGAAATCCCGTTCCAATCAAAACACGACAAACGACTTTTTTTTTTGTTGCGTTTTGGTTCTAGTTGGTACCTTAGAAACGTCATGGTTATAAATTCTCATTTATATTATAGATGATGAGGAAATACTGGTTCTTAAGGTTAAAACAGATTAAAGATAAGGTTGTCATGGATAACCGAGACAGGGCGTCTATTTCCCCTGGATTTCAAAAATTTCAATTATTATTACATATTTAATATAACTTTATTTTAAGCACGTTTCGGTGTTTGATTTTATTATGCCCTAGCCCCTGATCAATTTGCGCCCATGGGCGTACCGTCGTATTATTATATTCTCGCACAGTCGTGCACGCGAAAATCGGTGTCGGGATCTCGGGGTGTCGGTTGCATACGACCAGACGCGCGTTATTGTACGCGAAATATTGAGGTTACGGAAATTAAGGAAACCCGGTGTACACACAAGCGAGTACGCCCACCGCGGATATCCGAAACGCGCGCGCGCGTGTCCCGAAAATGATCGCCGGAAAATCGACACCGTCTACAAACAACGGCCTCCGCAGCCGAATTTAATTTCCTCGTAAATATTTATACTGTTCGCCGTGATGTATCGACACCGGCATAATATTATGATAATAGTATTAACACGCTGCGTACACGAATAATATTACGGTCGGGGCTCGTAAACGGGGAGGGAGGGGGGGCAGCCGAGTGCTTTGAACGCCCGTTTAAAACGTTCGACAACTGTATTAAATCAACTATAAATATCATGTTCTGGAGAGCGGAGATATTCATACGCGTTTCATATTATAGGTACGTTTTAAAAAAAATAACGGCTTTCGGACGAAGCATTGACGTTTCCTCGATAACAGTCGTCATTTTATTCTTAAATATGATTACGGCATCAACTGTTATTTCAATATGCTATTTACAACAAATCGCGTTTGAAACAAACGAGGAACACGTTTTTTAAAAAAAAAACTATTCCGTTTTTATTTTATTTTTTTAGAACGGTTTTTTTTTTGCGTTCCTACTCGTTACTTATCCTTGCATTCGCAAGTCCGTTGCATAATATGTAGTTGTGCGAGTAAAAAGTTTAATAGTGAATATTTTTGTAAATTTTAGGTGCAATTCGGTAAAATTGTCATCTTTACCGATACATCGTATATACGCGCATATACGTAATCTATCGATTAAAAAAATAAAAAGGAAAACACAACTCACAAAAAGAAATTTTCAACTAACTAGTTTCCGTTTAAATTATTTTTAGATTCTGAGCGGAGAAGCTATGTATTGGTTTTGCAATGACGTTTATTTTTTTTTTTTTATGTTAACACTTGTTCTATCAGTAAGCTTATTCCGATTATCAAGTATAGCCTCTATTCTGAAAGGAAATGTCCTCTGGACGGTACTTTGAAGTGGTCATCTTTTGGAATTCTCATTAACATTCGAGATTTACATTATTTTTAACATTACGCGCGAACTCACGAGGCCCCGATTATTGTTATACGAGCGCGCGATAAAATATTAAACCGGCGTCCGACCGGCTCGGGATTTCGTCGTATATAGGTGCACGTATTTTTCGTTATAACGTGCAAGTACAATCTTGGGAACGTTAAATCATATACACGCATATAAATTTATATATGTTATAATATACTATATATCGTAATAATAATTTGTAGTTTAAAATTTAAACCGTATTTCGAGACAACGACGCGAAGTTTTAATAAAATATAAATACGACACGATGCGGAATAACGCGTGTCTACCTTACGTTCATTCCCGTTTTTCGGTTTTTTTTTTTTTTCGAAACTACACGTTTTCAGTCTCCGGGGTTGTTCTACGTAAAATATATTACTATACGAACGCGACCGATATACTATACAGTATATTATAATACGACTGTAGTCATTTTTCAAAAATATATAAGCCCGCGGTCATTGTCGGCGTACAAGGGTGTCTATGCGCTGGTAAAATCGCCTAAACCGTCATTTCCGTAATGATAAACGTACGTTTAATATTTCCTCCGGACGAAACCGGAACATCTTATCCGCATCTTCTTAAATGAACGGGTCGACGAATGAAGACTTTAATTGTCATTTTTAAGATCGTTCGGGACGATAAACGGATATGAAATGTTCGGAAATATAACGCGGAATCCATCATATTTGATATGAAAAATAAAATAAAAATAGTTGAGCATAATACAACGTAGTCAATTTTTTCATACGCATTCTAAATTCAATTTTCGAAGAAAAAAATCTTAAAAATTAAAACTTTTCAAAACGCGAAAGACCGATCTTTACTCAGAATCGTAATTCATCGTTACGTTCAGACGTGAATTTCAAACGATGCATGTAATCATAATAATTCTACAATATAGTTATTGTTCACTATAACAAATACGTGTCTAAGCTGTCTAAACGGAAAATATTAATAATGATTGCACTATAAAATTCAATGGGTACTTGCAATGAAATTGTTTGCCCTCTTTACATATATTATACTAGTGAAGGGAAAGATTAATTGATTAAAAAAAAAATAGGTCAGTTGTGCAACCAGGATTTTTTTGAGGTGGGTGCCACGTGTCTACGTTTTTAACCTGTAAGCACTCGAGCGGGGTAAATAATCTCCCAGACTATTTTTGTACGGACGTTTTATCGACATTACCGGTTTTACATTATTAATATTTACTCCTATATATATATATATATATATATATACAAGAATACAATAATATTAAGAATTTGTATAGTTTCATTTTCGATTAGTTTATTTCCAACAGCCGGTTAAAATGTATCTCGACCGTGTTCTGAAATAAATTATCCTAGTAGTAGGTTAGGATGAATATATTAACGCACTAAGCTAATGAAACGGAATTTTTAAATTTTTTCAAGTTCAAATTCATGATAAAATTGATTAAAAAACAAAAATAATTACAATTTATTATTGTTTTATACGTTTAAGAAACAATATCAATAGCCGTTTTAACCGAACTTCAATCAGAATCGTTTGAAACGAATTAAGTATACCGTTACATACTGCAGTGTAGATTTCTAAACTGTTTTTGTGTATCCTACGTTCTCGAATTCCCGCTAATAACAATGACCTATCTGGAGCACGTCTGGCTTCTTTCTTTTACATTTTCCATTAAATGTAATCATGTATAGCTCTATAGTTGTTATATTCGCATTACCCGTGGGGTCAGTTTTCCAAATTTTCTCCAATTTTATAAAGTTCGGAAATCATTTTAAAAATTTGAATGACATCCTGAAAGATAAGACTTTTACATCCGACGTATACCACCTGGATTCCATTTAGAAGGAATGGGTGACCGTAAAAAATTTGCACATTGTCTGTATACCTGCACCAGATTATCGTACATCATATGCCCATCAACATACCGAACAATAGAAGGGTGTAAAATAACATATAAACACAAGTTTTTGTTAAAATAAGCATTCAACGTTTAAATTTTGACAAAATTCACGAAAATTTCCAAATGTTGTGTATAATTATTCTGTAGTTAAGAATTTAAGATTTAATTAATCAATTATAAATTTGATTATTTGAGTAAAAATTAATTAAAAATAAATTGTGTTTATAAACCTTTGAATTAGGCACATTATAGGCATTGTTAAAATACAAAATAAAAACACAATATAGTAAAAATGAATTGTTAATATTATGTTAACGAATAAATACATAAATAAATTAAGCACTGAAAATAATATTATAAAGCAATACTTGGTATATTGTTACGTCCCATTATTTTTACAAAATGAAACCTAATTGATCAGTCGATTACTTACACAATATTATTACGGTACATAATATATATTTTAAAACAGAAATATCTGTACAATATTTTAAAATTGTATAATAAATTTAGAGATAAGTGAATTTTTAAGCTTAGATAAAAACTGAAGTTTTTGGGTAAATATACCTTTTGTCAGTTCTATTGTTAATTAATATCGATGTGCAAAAGATTTAAAACACAAAAATCGTACGATGCGCAACTGTTTTATGAAAAAGGTCAAAATTGACAATAGTAATGCTCAAACGAAGACCGCCCAAAGGGTATACGGTGGTTTTTATGGAGAAAATTTACTTTGAGGGAATACAGATAACTCATCGTCAACATAATATTTCCCAAGCATATTTTTTTTAATTTTCGTATTAAAATAAAGGTATTATAGAGATTTACTTATACGATGTTTTACTTATCAATTAGACAATTACTTATCCATATTGTTTTGATTATTTAATAAAATTATTTAAATCTGAATTGCTCACTTATGCAAATTATTTATTTTTTTTTTTATGAATCATCGTAATAATATCTTTTTATGTCATTTGAATATCTGCAAATTATCTTGTATCATCTCCATATTAGACAAAACTTAAGTCATTGTATTTATTTTTTATCCGTGTAATAAAAAATATTGATTATTTTTCCCCAACACTGCCGAAAAATACCCGTAGAAAAAAAAACGATTTGTTATTTCCAAACGTTTGCGAATATTTTTAAAAATTTAAACGATGTCATATTATATAATACACGTATATGATTGTATAAAATACTATTATTTCCTGCCGGATGTTCAAGTACCTTTTGTCGTCATCAAAAATTGTTTACTGTCTCACTGCTTTATATATTATACTATAATAAAGACGATAACAAAATATTTATAGAATAATGAATTGTCTAATCTTGTTAAATTATAACGAGATGACTATAATATAATATTATTATGAGTATCTAACAATCGAGTTCAGCAACACGTAAAAATAGTGTTTTTTCGCGGCGTCTCGTTTAACAACAACAAAAAAGAAAAACTGGCGAAGGGCCAAATCGCTTTAACATCATTTCACAAATCTGCGAGTCTTTTGTACAGGATAGCTGTTTACCTATCAAATACGATTTTTAGGCCGTTATAGCATTTATGCAAAAAACTACATTGATCTACTAACTATCGTAGGTAACACATGTATGTATAATTATTTGTCCGAAAAATTGTGTTTATTTAAATGAATTAATACAATCAAAAGTTATTTCAAACGAGTTAATTGACGTCCTCTAAATTATAATTCAATAAATTCATAAATTATAACTTATTTCCATTCTAAAAACAATTATGCGACTTAATATTCGATTCTATTTCCTCCCGTTCGTCTTAGTCCACTTTTATATACGTACGACGACGAACTTCCTTAACTTCAACGGCGTTACTGTTATATTAAATAATTCACGGCACGATTGTTTCGACCAAGGTCTAGAATCCCCGATAGGTCTACCGGGAAATCGGAAAATTCTCCGTGAGCCACAGTGTCTGCAGTGTTTACTCTTTAGTACTTATGTTATAATTTTAATGATACAAACCCCGACGAATTGAATATTGATAATCGATAAGTCAGGCGTATCTTTCCGGCTTTCGCAGTTGCTTTTCGTATTATTAAGCGCACTGGGTCAAAACAACGATCAAGGAGGCTGCTTAAGATACTAACCTATTATGTCAACATTTCTTATCGGTTTATCAGTTAATATACCTTCAGCTCCATATAGCTGTATAACAACCCAAGTAAGCGTGTTATACAGAAAGGGACGGCATTATACAAGTTGCACTTGTATGAGGTATTCCCGATATGCCGAGTTTGACATTCTCCATATAGTTTGACCAAGTTTTAACTTATTGCTGGCTGTTTATTCTTTGAAACGGGCCACGAATGTACAGATTTTTCTGAGCCGATTCCAAATTGTCAACCTTGGTCTAGTGTATACGAACTTTTACTCTGCGAGTAATCGAGACTTGAAATACTTTGTAAATTCGATGAGATAGTATTCTGCTTCTCTCCTAGTCATATAAATCTATCTGGCATTTCCGTGACCAACCAATAGCAGTTAATAGCGCTGCAGTTCTGACACTGGTCGCGATGATGAGGTCAAGTCAGCAAACGAGAAACGTATTTTTATTTTATATTGCGTTGTGACATTGTAACTCACGACAGTTTTATTGTTACGACTTATGACCGTAGAGAAAATTGTACACTGTCGAAAAAAAGTTGTTAAAAAAACAAGTGTACACCAGATGGGAGGTACTTTATTTATACATAAATATTATATTGTACTACGACGTAAATATAACCGTTACGTCGAAAAGCGTCCAATTAAATTATCAAACGTGGAATTGTTCAAATGACGCGCAATATAAAATATATAGGGTATTCCGTCGAAACGAAAAATCGTTTGAATTCTACGGTTTTATATAGTAAATGATTAATGAATTTAATGAACTATATCTCAGAAAACGAAAATAATAATTATTATTATTGATAGCTATCACGTTATATTTTTAAGTAGCATTTATCGTCTAAAAAAATCAAAAAAAGCTACATGCTACTTGATCTGAACCATTTGCATCATATGCTTGCTGTACCTAGCCTACAACAGCAAGGGATGCGAATAAGTTAAATACCTTTGAGTAAGTCTTATGGAAAATGTATGGACCCTTCTGGAACCCTGTTATTCTAGTATGGGAATGTAAGTCAAATGATGGGCAACTTACGGATAATTTGTACAATATATTAATATATATTTGTGGCTTGGTACAAGAAGGGCAAATGTCAATCTGTTAAAAAAAATCAATTCGAAATAAAAAAAACAAAAAGTGTACAATTTTTTAAGTTTTTGTGAAAATTGAAAATCATACAAACATTTACATTTAATAAAATACACACAGAGTCTCATGGGGAATTAAAATTTCATCAAAATTTCAGCCCTTCTTCCACCAAGCCACAGGTACGTAGGTACAATTCGATTTATAAAGGGTACGAAAATGGAATAGGTTAGTCACGTTTATAAAGCAAACAACAATATAGTTAAAAAGTATAGTTACTAATAACATTTAGAAAATGACTGAAGCAACGGTAGTTAGATGTGGTTAAGGAAGACATAGTGGATCAGAAATCGAATTGAAAAACATTCAAGGAACAGTGGAAGAAATTTGTACACGGCAGCAAAGTGCCTAATTAAAGTGGTGTTTAATGCTAATAAAGAAAAAAAGAAAAATTATTGACAGCAGTTATAAACGAATAATAATAATGAAATCGAATCTGCGCAATGTGCAAAAAAAAAAGACGGTTTCAGCGGTGTTGACGCGGAAAGGTAATAATTTTTTTTTTCACCGATTTTTCCCGACGTGAAATAATAATATTATTTCAACGATAATCCAATCGAATGTTTAATACAGAAAAAAGGAAGACGCATAGTTCGAATATTGTTCGATATTATATTTATCGCCATTCCATTGAGTATTTTACGGTTTTAATGTCAAAAATTCGGATCAACAATGCTGCACTGTAGGTTACAGACATAATTTGGCCTGTAATAATAATAACAATAATAATAAGACATTTGAACTTTTCAAACGGCAATAATAATAATGATATTGTTTTATATATACAAATATATATATATTGTTTAAGCGGAAACTGGAAAATGTTAAAAATTATTCCTTTTCGCGATTAAAACTGCAATAAACTCCACGGGGATTAAATCCGAATCGAGTGACGAGACTATGCAATATTGTACGCGGTTATATTAAAATTTAAATTCGCCGTCGAACGCCAAGCTCGTTGTGGAAACAGGAAAATCGGAACGCGCGATTATTTTAATAGTGTAAACGCGAGTTGACACTTAAACAGTCAAACGATTATAATATCGACACGTGAGCGGAGAACTTCAGCGAGCGTGTAAACATAACGCAACGAAACGCCGCTCTAAAATGTTTATTTACGACAGATTTAATGCCCGGTCGCGTATAACCAAAAAAAAGCCTTCGCAATATTAGAACCGTGTCCGTATACGGCGCTATCATCGGCTACTTTGAGTACATTCAATAATGGTTTGATAATTCGGCCGGCGATTATTATATACGGTCTACTACCCTGACCTAACCGAACCCAAAATTTGTGGAACATATTGTTTAGGCTTCCCCCCTCCCGCTTTTATTTACCCGTCACCTGTTACCGATGATATGGTTTCGCGTGACGAATCACGATTTACTTATGGTTAAAATACACCGAATGGCGGTGCAGACCGAAGTCCCCAAGATGAAACAATTTTACGACTACTTTAACGATGAATTGACATTTTTCAACGGGCCATTTTACGTCGTCTAATGAGAAATTAAAGTTTAAAAGTCTATTTCCCCACTGTTCTGGGACGTGTCAGGGCCGGGTCCGTGTCGAAATTCGTGCCAGGTCCTGGTCGAAAAATATCGTCGGAAACGATTGTCTTTCGGAAATTCCGGATGTCTGAGCAAATTTTTCGTTAGAATATTCCATTTCAACAGGTTTAAAAGTTCAATTAAAATTAAATAAATACTCTCACATATTGTACAATAAAACTTAATGAATAATTATCACACAAATAATAAAGTAATTGGGTAATATTATAGTACACTTGTTACTTGCTTAAAAATCGATATTTAAATTTTGACTTGTTTTTTAAACAAAAATCTTAGATTAGCTTCACTCGACCATACATAAACAACTAACGCGTGTTTACTAATTTCGTTTTCCGACTTTAACCGATGACAAAATATGTTTATTACACGGACGGGGCACTGGATAGTGTGAAATCGAACCGAGTCGGCCGAGTCAAAAACCGACAAGCTCCCGATCTGGATACGTCTTTCAGTGAGGATACACCTAAACTGTGAAATTCATACCAGCTAATGAGAGCAACGTATTTTGGACACGGTGTTACGAGTTACGATTATATAAACTTATAGATGCTTTGGTAATACTCCACCCTCACGCGGCGTTGAAAAATTCGCTTTAAATATAATACCCGTAACTGTTACCACAAATATAACAATCGTTAATCTGTGTAGTCTGTGTAAAAATCGTTTTTTTTTTTTTTTTTTTTTACTATATATTATATATGTATTTTCGGAATGACATGCGGTTTTTCCGTTAAACTATTCGGGGTACGGTAACTATATATTTTTTTTTTTTAATCGGATACGCGTTTTTCGAACGGATTAAAACAACTTTACGTATACCTAACTATCGTCGTCGGACACGTACATAATTAGTAAAAAAAAAAAAATGACGAACATACTTCACGCCATAAATGCACCACTAAAATAGCTGTCAAATTATCACATCCGCGTTCAAAATTATTATCGCTATCAAAAATCGATTCTGGGAAATGTTCACGGTGAAATATGTTTCGATAAAACATAAATTGATAATTTTATTAGTTAAGAAATTTAGAAAATAAATTACAATGTTGTCAGCGATTTTTCAACTCGAATTTTCGAATTTTGAAAATTATACCGCGTTCATAATATAGTCAATTGATTAAACAAATATTCAGTAAAATTTGCTGGATTATTTTTAACTGAAGTACAACAAAAAAAAAACCCAAATCGAAAATAACAAAAACCGTTATTAATTTGTAAATAACTCCGTTTTTCTCGGTTCACCTTCATTATTAAGAAAATTATTAGGAAAAATATCATCTGAATACACGCTGGCTATCATAAAAAAAACCACGATGATCAGAGTCAGATTTCTGAAAGAAAAGCTGTTCCTGAACAGGCAAAAAAAAAAAAGCACATATCGTAGTAAAACCAATAAATTCCGCGCTACACTCAAAATCTAAACATAAAAAAAACCCAGAGAAAAACGGGATGCCGAGTATCAACGACGACGTGGCGTTTTTTTTTGTTTTCGTTTTTTATCCGTTCGGACGAGACTATAATACGTCATTGGAATTTTTAAGTTATCGCTCCGACGTGAATACCGTCAATCGCTTCGCGGACAAAACGATATTACATTTCGAGATAATATAATATATCTATACGAGTATTATTTTTGAACGACCAATAACGAAAACATAACGTTCATACGAACTGTGGATATTTTAATACGACACCTATAATAATATTGTAGCACGAAACGACCGTCCATCTACATAATGTTACATTGTACAATATCGAACAGTCAAAATGGAAAAATGTACATTCAGCGCGTATCCGAACTCGTATAATGATAAAGGCGATATTCCGGATATGTCGTGTATCGTATGAATTTTGTCGTATTCCTAAATGACGGTAACATTCCTGCGGTGCAAGACCCGGAAATATCCAGAATCGGACTGAACTTGTCTTATGTCTCGTTTTAGTAGCTACAATAATATACGCTTAGTTGACTTTTCGGTTTTATCGGCGTCAAATATTATATGTGTGGACGCGCCACGACAAACGACGTCGTCACTGGAATATCGTCTTGAGAGGAGGAAGTCAAACTTGCGTCAACTGTCATTAGACTGTCAGTCTAATTATAAAAGACAACATTAAAAAAAAAAAAACTACGTAGGTACAGAAAATATAATCTACTCTTTGAATTGTGTTATTTCTGTTTAAACTCTAATTTTCAACCTAAACGCCACCAATTTACGTTATAAGTAACGTTATTTTCCTGAGACAACGTATATGACGTCCTAAATCTTAATATACACATATAAGTAGGTATCCTAGAACTAATGCACTGCAGTTATTTCAGATGTTTATGGTTTTAAATGCAAATCGTAATTAGGATAAAATATATGGCCCCAAGTTGATTCCAATATTGCTTCGTCTTGACCATTATTCGCACTGTGGTTCTAGACGATAAAAAAACGCGGTTGTATGGTTGAGTAGGTACCTACTCGTATATACAATTGTTAAGAAAATCACATCAAACACTATATTATATTTATATACATTTAAGAACCTGGCGTATTTTTAATTTTTTTTTCTTCATTCTTTCTCTCGTCCCTCTTTTAAAATGTTTTATTATTAATTGTTAAAGTTTTTAAACTGCAGTAATTTCATTTTTTTTTTCTTTAGAATTTAATGAAAAGATCGAACATAGTTTAAAATTGAAGTAGTCTCGTATATTTTCGTCTTTTCTAAGAATTTTATAAACGGTTTCACAATATCGCGTATATCAATTATTTATAATTATAACCTACTTCAATGACAACGAGCTAAAACATATTTGTCGAGATATTTTGAGTAGGTAAAACTTAACTAAATTTATTGGGGAAAAAATA